TGAGAAAGTAAGCAATTTTTCAGCAATAGTGTGCTGTAATAATTTTGTATTTTTATGTCTGATTTTGTAAGCAAGTATTTTTTCAGTGAGGTGAAACTTGGGGGGATAGAAAGACAAATCAGACCCCTGAAAGGGGCACAGAAGTCTGGAAAGGCTGAGAGCCACCGATCTAACAAAGCTGAGATGATCCTGGAAATATCAGGAGGGCTGGCAACTGTATATTCACTAGCAGTTGCGTAAGTCATGTTTGCAATCTTGTTCATAATTCATATTATCTCAGCTTCCACAAAAGCAGCCTGAATCGGTTACCAATGCACATCTTTCCTCCAGATATCTGGAAAGCCTGTAACCATTGCCCTGATTCTTTCTGTATTAGGTACAAAGCACACCTAATGGAAATTATGGAACCAACACAAGGGATTTCTGAGTACCTGTGCATGGCATAGGCTGGTAGCAAGCAAGGAACAAAATCATTTTGGAACCTGCACACTATACTAATACACAAGGTTCAAGAGGAGTTCATGGGTTTGGGGGCCTTTGATGATCCAAGCAATCTGTCCTTCTACCTCAAGGGGCATTTGGGACCTGGGGTGGAGTAGAAGGTCACAGCACATACAGCTTCAGTGACAGACAAGTTGACACTGAATAACATAGACTAAGATTTTCAGAAAAGTTAACTGTAAAAGGCATGTCACTGCCCCTTGGAATGGTCTCTTGAGGGGCCTCAACTTCTCCTGACTGACCCCATTACAAACATTATTTGTTTAAAGTTGGTAACAAGTCTTTTTAAGATAATTAGGGTGTGCTGAATCCAAATACGGTTGTTAGAAAGCTGTACGTTGTGTATAAAGGTGTCTAAAAAGAGAACAAAGTTGGATCTTAATGGGCTGTAGGACCATAGTAAAAGTAATCAGAAATATGCACAACTTTTTTATAAAGCTATTGAATTTCAACTTCTTATTTGCAAGAGGTATCAGAAATATTTTAATATGTTATACAACCGTGAAAGAGCATGTTTAGCTGGCTTTTATAACTTGAGCATAAGCAACTTGAAATAAAAGTATACACATTGATTTTCTCTCAGAAATACAACACAATCTGAAAATACCTGTGAAGAAAATATTTTCACTTATTTTAAAAACTAAACACTGAGTTAACATTTTAATGCACACAAGTTAAGCACATGTTAATGTTGTACTATTTCAAGAAACCCTGGAACACAGTGGCAGATTGAATTAAAAATATCTTATTTGGTCATTTACTGTGACACATTACAATACTGTCCTTAAGCACTAAGGTACAGGTACATCAACACAACTTTGTTCCGGCGCTCTACATTTGCATGCTTCTATACAAATAAGTCATGCTGTTTTGTAGCTGCATTGCTGATTTCTGCACCCTGTGCAGCCACAGAATACTGCCTCCATGCAGTCTGCTGGTATTGGTGGCAATGACGTGAGCTATGGCAACAGACCTTTGTTCTCTTGTTTCCAAAACATTGTATTTGGAAGAGGAAGTATTGAATTTGGACAGTGGACCTGTCTCCAAACTAGTGCCTACTAATGAGCTCTCTCTATGTGGAAGAAAAGAACACCACCTGTTGGTAGTACAGCTTCTGATGACCACAAGTATGTGTCATAAGCTGTTTCTCCATAAAATTGTCCAATTGCACTTTTCCCAGGATATTTACATTCAACAGTGTGTCTTGTATGGCTTCAGCAGCCAGATCTTTTGTTGCAATATTTTGCAATGAAGTGGGTGGTACAACCCCAGAGAAAACCTTAACCCTTTGAAGGGTTTGTAAAAGGGCACCCCCTTTTTATTGTCACGTTGCTTCCTGGCCTTTCTTGACTCACTGTGAATAAGCTGGTTATCCAAGCCAACATGAAACATGGTTCTGGTGTTTGCTGCAATATGGGCTCTCCAGTTGTAAGACAAGTCCGATCTGCTGAGTGCTGAGAGAGTCTTGGTGATGCCTTCAGTTCCACCTCCTTTCTTTCCTGTGCCATTAAGCCACTCTTGGGCTCTGATCAGGGTCCACTTGTTTTAACTTCTCACATGATCTCTTGAAAACAAAGTTCTCTTGCGGGAATTTCTTAAACACGCAGCATCTCCAGTCCATATATTTCACAGAACTGGACTGTCTTCTTTTGCAGACACTGGTGTCTTTACTGGGATCACTAGAGCTTGCCACACGTGATACATCAGTTGAGATGGTCTTGCTTTCTATAACCTTTGGATTTTGCCTTTGTCAGTGTATTGGGCATAGCAATTTCTTTGACACGTGTACTCCTGGGGGAATTCTGCGCCAAAAAATTAAAAATTCAGCACACAATATTTTAAAATTCTGCAATTTTATTTGTTAAAATAACACAATATAATCACACCAGTTTCAATTATTTTGGTAATTTATTTCAAAATACCTGTCAGCAAATACATTTCTAATAATAGACAACAAAATTCAGGATTTTTTTTTTACAAATAGATTCCTTACTAGGAATATTAATACAGAACTTTAAGTAATTCATTTAAAATACAATACAGAAACATATTCCCACATCACTCAGAAGCAATGCAAAGACTTAGGGGAGTCAGAGGTAACAGAGGAGCTGAGGGAGAGGAAAGGAGCCTGGGAGTGAACCTGGAGGGTTGTTGGGTGTGAATAGGAGAAGAATGGAACTGTTTTTTTGGTGTGTGTGTGTGGGGGGAGGATGTTAGTGTGGAAGAAAAACGCAGTCTTCACTCTTAGGTTGTTTGCAACAAGTCAGAGACAGGTTTATTCTCAAGCAATTGCAAGGGGGAGAGTGCACACAGACAGGGATTCCCCCTTCCTAGGCAGGTCTCCGCCCAATAAACAATTAGGGCAAGCATTTATACCTTTTGTTACATACAATAATGATCAACTGCTGCGTCTTGTTTATACATATTCCTTCCTGATATCTTACTTTTCTCAGCAGTTCCTGCTACAGTCTGAGTTCCATTCTTATCTAACACAAGGTCAAAACAGCATCCCTTACAGTTTTCCCACTCGCTTCCCACTTGCCCAAGCCCTGCCTTAAAGTCTCGCGTTATTAGAGTTAGATGTAGCCTGACTCTTGCTCTGTTCCTAAGAAAACTAAGATGTCTGTATCCAAATTCCCTTTATCCCTTTTTCCACTTCCACATTAGGGAGCTTCCCCATGCAGACCCTGATTGACCCCTAGCCTCTCCCATTCAATCAGGCACATCTGTCCCCGTGTGTCCCTACAGCGCCCGTCCCATTCAGCCCCTGGCTCAATGCTGTTACCCCACTAGCTCCTGTGCCCTCGCCCCAGTCTGTGACCTCCCCAGCAGTCCCATGTGCCCCGCTCCGTCTGTCCTCCCACATCCTGTGCTTCCTAACCTGGCTCCATGGTCAGGGTGCTGTAATGAATGCAGCCGGCTGCTGGCTGTTACTGCTGGTCAATCGCTGCTGGCTGTTCTGGTGCCACAGCAGCCTCTGGTGGGCAAAAGGCGGAACAGCAGCACATCTCAGACAATGTATATTCTGTGCAGAAAAAAAATTTTCTGCGCCGGACAAGAAATTTTGTGCGTGCGCAGTGGCACAAAAATCCCCCACAAGTACACTACTCAGTTCTGCCAGATGGACACAATTCTGTCAATGGCCTCTCTGTATTTGACATCTTGTAGTTTCTTTCTAATGGCTGTTGCCTCCCTTATTCTACACAATCCCTGTTCACCTGCTTCATGCACATCTTCTTAATACTTCACAAACAATGTAGAGACTGTAGGAAACCAGTATGGATCTCTTGAGCCTTACTATGGTTCCATGGTTTACCTACAACCGTAATCAATATGTCATAAAACATCACCGTTTCTCTCTCTGTTTGTAAAAAATGTTGTCACCGTCATTTCTGTGTTAATTCTGCTCTAACTACAAAGCATTATATACTATAAAACAAATACAAAGTGTGCAAGAAAATGAGAAAATGATTTCATATATTACAGGAAAAATAAGTTATGATTAACTTACTTATAATATTATGATATACAAATAACCAAATACTATAAGAAATTGAACATTAGGGTGCAGTGTTTAAACCATGAAGTTTGACTTCTCGTTTCTGTCTTAATAGACTGACAAGGAATTATGTCATGTTGTTGTAGTCAGTCCCAGGATATTAGAGAGATAAGGTGAGTGAGGTAATATCTTTTATTGGACCTACTTCAGTTGGTGAGAGAGACCAGCGTTCAAACTTACACAAGCTTTTGAACTACACAGTGCTCTTCTTCAGGTCACCGTGTTAGCTTGAATGCTGGTCTCTCTCACCACCAGACATTGGTCCAATAAAAGATATTGCCTCACCACTGGTCTCTCTCATTAATTACATCGAAGCGTTTGATTGCGCTGACAAGTTCACGCACGCACTGTGTGCATACCAAACGTTTCTGGTGAACTTTGGCAGCCGTGGTTGCGAGCTGCAGGGTCTGAACATCAAAGCTCAGGGTTGGCAACCACCAGGTGTGAAAGCAGCAGGTTCACACGGGCTTAGAAAAAGTTGTTACCAACTTTGAACAAAAACTGCCTCCTGGCCCTGGGCCCGCACAGAGGCTGACTCTGCCATTTCGGTCCACTCTCTAGTCTAGGGGCTGCGGTCCAGAGCCTGGCAGCGCTCGCGTGCCCCAGCCTGCCAGGCCTCTAACCTCCAGCTCTGCACCCATCCTCGCCTACCCCCCACACCTCTTTGAGAGGCTGGCGGTGCGCGAGGCACCCTGGGAACCACAGTCCACGCGCACAGCTCCCCCACCGCAAGGCCTCGCTCTTCTTTTGTGGAACTCCAATTCCCGGTACGCCTCGCGGCACAGCGAGACCCCGCGCGGGGCACCACGGGACTCGTAGTCTTTCCGAGCGCGCGGCGAACCTCGCCAGGGTCTCCAGGGGAACCACAGTTCCCAGCGTGCCCCGCGGGGAAGGGCCGGCGCCCGCGCCGCTGCGGCGGCCGGGCGAGCGAATCAGAGCCGGGAAAACGAAACTGCCGGGTTTGAAATCCTCCGCCTCCCCCTGCGCCATCGTCCTCCGCGTGACGGGCCAGAGCCTGGCGCGTCTGACCCACGTACGGCGGCACCGCGCGCAGGTGAGCGGGCCCGGGGCCGCGCGGCTTGTTTATTGTAGGGTCGGCCGGAAGTTGACGGGGGGTGGGCGGCTCCTGACGCGTCGCCAGCCCGATCTCCGCCGGCCCTTGCCCTGTCGCGTGCGCCTGCGGGGTTTCCCCGGGTAAACAGCTGCTGGGGGAGGGGGCGGGTGTGTCCCCCCCCGCCCCGGCAACCTCTTGCTGCCCCGGGGCGGGGGGCGCCCCGTGCGGCGGGTCCCGTGTGCTGCGGGAGGCGCGCCCCTGGCTCCGCACCCCCGCTCGTTTCTCTCTCTCGCTGCGCTGCACAACTTAAGCCGCCCTGCTCTTGTGCCTGCCGCCTCCCCGGGGCTCCGCGAGCCGGCCGGCCGGCGAGCCCCGGTGCGCTGCGTAGGCAGGGCTGTCGCGTCACAGAGCGAGCCCGGCCTCTCCCCGTTACATCCTCCCCGGTGGGCTGTGCTCTGGCCGGCTCCCCGGGGAGCCGCGAGCCGCCGCGTGATGGGCAGCGCTGGGAGGAGGGCAGCGGGAGGAACGATCAGGGGGTTGAAGTGCCCGACATAGCGGGCAGATGGACAAACAGCTACCTGTGGTGTTGTTGCCCTGTCGGTCCCAGGATATTGGGGGGGGGGGGCGAGGTAATATCTACTCGCAGATCAACTTCTGTTAGTGCTGCTATGTCTGCACTGCAAATTACTTCAGTGTTACTTGCGTCGCTCTGGGGTGTGAATAATCCACACCTGAGATTAATTATATCACCCTAAACGCCAATGTGGACTGCCTTATGTTGGTGGGAGAGCTTCTCTCACTGACATAGGTACCGCCTCTCAGGGAGGCAGGACCCATCGGCTTTTAGAGCATCTTCACCAGAAGTGCGAAAGCAGCACGGCTACAGTGCCGCTGCACCACGGTAGCTGCTGTAGTGTAGCCGTAGCCTGAGAGAGAGACGCTTCTGAGATCATTTAGCTCAGCTTTGGTTAATGGGTGGCCTGAGAATCCACTAAAACATGGTGTGTAATTACCGAGTGCTTTACGTTTCCAACCAGGATCAGAAGAATGAACCAACCAAAGGGAAATCTTGCACTGTCTGCAAAATTTACCAGATGTGTCAGGCTGTGGAACAGTCTCTCAGGGAAAGAGGTGGAAAATCCCTTTGCTTGTTACAGTTACAACTAGACTGGGTAAAATACTAGTAAATTAAAATGTACACTGTCCTTGCTCTTGTGTCCTGCACCCATACTGTCTCTGTGGTAGCCATTCAGTAACCAAATCTGATTCTAGTACTGTGCTGACACGTGAGTACCAGCCAGGATTTAAATGAAAAGAAAAAACAGTTGTGTTTAACTCTGACTCAGCTTGCAGAGGAGGGGAAACTCGCAGGACTGGATCATGGCTTGTGTTTAAAGGCCATGATTTTGGGGAGAAAAGAATACTATTTTGCAGTTCTAACAGTATTGCAAACAGAGTCCTTTCTTATGAGATGTTGTCAGGTAGTTCAGGTGCCCAGTTTAGTTGTGTTGATTAGCAGTAATGACTAGATTAAAATCTAAACCTTTCCCTGCAACAGGCTTTCAGAATCTGAAACTGACCAATCTAGTCTCACTGTCATGATTGTTACTGTTTGGGTTTTTTTAATAGCTCAGTCAACTAGATTTCTAAAAAATCAGTGTTGATAACCTGAGATGCTATTTGTAATACAGATTAAAACTGTGTTTCTTCAAGTCAAAGTTTTTTTGTTGTTTGTTTTTATCTTGACAGTGTACTCCCTGGACAGTTCTTGGAGGTTGGTGAAGTGGAGAAAATGGCATCTGAGGACATTACTAAGCTAGCAGAGTCACTTGCCAAAGCCCAAGTGGGCGGAGGGCAGCTGAGCTTCAAAGGCAAGAGCCTGAAACTCAATACCGCCGAAGATGGTAAGAGAAAACTCTTATGTTGGGGCAGTGTTTCACCTGGGTACATGTCAGTGCCATCCCAGAGCTGTGTGTCATGAACCTCTTCCTAACTAAAGGTGTCTGGACACAGCTAACTCCAGTATGTGAGAGTCTATGTAATGTGGCAGGGGGACACAAGGGTCAGCCATCTGAGAAATGGGGACTTCTGATAGAGAAGCAACCTCTCCCCACCACACTAGCACAGCGTCACTGCTACAACTGGAGAAACTGGTTTTGACTCTCCCTGACTTAAGTGTTGATTTTGTTCTGGGAGTGACTCTTGTCCTTCTAATACATACACTGATGCTTTAAATTGCTGGAGGCAAGAGACTTTCCTCCTACTCTAAATGCTTCAGGAAGCCTAGTAAAACTCGGAATGATTGAAATGCCCAGGGAGACTAGCAAGACTTTACAAGCTCCATGCAGGTGGATTGGTTAGTCTCCCCTGCCTGCTTCCGCAATCCCCCTTGCCCTAGGATAGAGTGCCTCAGTTCCTGTCTCAGTCCTAGATAGGCTTGTTGTTGTTTGCCTGGGGTGCTCTTCCTCCCGCACATCTCTTTTTAGGATAAAGAACTGGCTGGGGCAGTGATGTCTTTGTCTTGCTGTGGCGGGTGGGGGAATAAATCCCTGAATCACACCTGGAAGTAGGTTGTTCTCAAACCCATGACTGACTTTTCCTACTAGTTTGCATGGCGATGCTTTCCTTATCCTTCCTTGGTAGTGCAAAACCACATTAGTTACGAGTAAAAGACCTAGAGGCTGGGGAATAATGAGTAGTGATGGAAAGAGAGACTCTGCAACCTGCCCTTGAATGGAACCTAAGGTGACTTAGGTTAGAAATGAGGAGAGTAAGGCTCTGCTTGCTTTGTGCAGCCAAAGAGGTGTCTAAGGAAATTGAGGAATTTGATGGCTTGGAAGCCCTGCGCCTGGAAGGCAACACCGTGGGTGTGGAGGCAGCAAAGGTCATTGCCAAAGCCTTGGAGAAGAAAGCTGAGCTCAAGGTGAGATCTTTTAGTAGAGTACTGAAGGGGAAGGGAGGATATATTGATGAGATGCTGAAGGCCTGTCTGTTTTTGAGCACTGACCCAGGACAGGTCCCTGCAGGAGCAATACAAACTTCAAATTCCTTGTCCCACCAGCATATAAGAATAGACTCAGGAAACTAGGCCTGTGTATGAATAAGTGGTGGCAAACCCTCAGGACCTCATAACTTGGCTTAACAGCCCTGTGAGTAGCATTTGCTGAAATGCTGCATTTCAGCCTTTGGCAGCTCTCCATGGCTGAGGCAAGAAAGCCATGAGAGAGGACTCGCACCAGGGTAAGCCTCTGTAAATCAGAAAGGAGCGCTCCAGTAATGTAGTGTGGCCACTTAGGGCTGTGATCTCATCAGATCTTGCAGAGTCAGATCTCCTGCTTGGGTAGGATACTTCAAAGCAAAGCCCAGAGTGCTGCAGGAAATGGTGATGGAGGTTCACCACAATATTTTCTACCCCTTGAATTATTTATCCAGTATTCTAGCGTAGCATTGAGGTGGGTGGGTACTGTGCCACTGGAAATGCTATCTTCTGAATGAAACCTAAATCTGAAGCCTTGACCGCTTGAGGTCACTGAGGTTTCCATGGCCCTTCTCATAAGTTTAGGCTCCCTATCCTGATGAAATTCTCATTCTGCATCCTTCAGTTTTCTCTGGGTATGGTAATCTTCACTTATGTCCTCAGTTCTTGTGTGTTGTTGATGTGCACTATTAAACAGCCGATGAATTCTACCCCAGAAATGACTGTGTTTCCTTGGTGAGTGAAGTGAATTATATAGTTTGTGTAGCTCTTTGGCATAATTAGGTGACAGGCCCAAGAGAAGTGTAAATTGTAAATATATCATGTCTCCTGTCAAGTGCTGGGGGCTAGAGGACATTTGTGTGTGCTTCTGATATTTGACAGTCATCTTTCCATCTGTCTCTTTTTAGAGGTGTCACTGGAGTGACATGTTCACAGGGAGATTGAGGTCTGAGATCCCTTTTGCTCTGGTAAGTGGGAGAACTGGGGATTAAAGTTTCAGATTTGTGATTACTCTAATCTCCTCTTGCTCCATATGTTTACACTTAAAACTATCCATCCTTTCCATGGATACATGTGTTGTCAGAGACCCAAAGACAGACATAACCTTTCCGATAAAGCATGGGCATGTATGGCTTTCCCTCTCCCTCAGCCTCTGGGATGAGGGGAAGAAGCGATAGCATAAGCACCTTCTGTCTGATCAGTAAAGCAGCTCTTCCCTGGAGGAGGATCAGCAGTATGGCCATCTGATTGGCAGGGCAGGAAACGAGGACTCCAGAATAAAAGGATACCCTCAGCAAATTGGAATGATTCTGGGGTGAACCAGGAGTTGGCTTCTGTAATCTTAAAATAGCATATATTTGGATCTGTGAAACTTGGTGCTTGGGCAGGTCACTGAAATGTGTATGGCTCCTGTTGCCTTCTTTTAAAAAGGCCTGGATAACTTCATGGTATCTAATACTTAGAGCTGTGCACATTCAACTAACAGTTGAATCCCATGCTTCAGGGCCCAAACTAACTGTCTTGTCTATCAGAAAAGATTCCCTCTCCCTCGTGCAGCACTGCATAATGCGGGGGGGGGGGCAGCTCTTCTGAAGCATTGGGTAGTGATCTAAATGGGCCTGTGGAACTGTTACTAAAAACCAAATCCCTTGTCTCCTCACAGACTGCCCTGGGGGAGGCCCTTATCACCGCAGGTTCCCAGCTGGTGGAGCTGGACCTGAGTGACAATGCCTTTGGGCCGGATGGCGTGCGTGGCTTTGAGGCACTGCTGAAGAGTCCTGCCTGCTTCACTTTGCAGGAGCTCAAGCTGAACAACTGTGGCATGGGCATTGGAGGAGGCAAGGTAAGTGACACTTCTCAGTCCCAGCTCGCTTGCATTGGTTATCTCATAAAGACTGGGTGCAGGGGACCTTGGGTTCCAACCTCCCCCTTTGTTTGTTGTCTTGATTACTATCATACTTCAGACTGATCTCATGAAGTGTCCAAGATGAGCAGAGTTGGGCTATCCCAATATCTGGATGGGAGAGTTCCCCATCAAGAGAATTCTGATGTTCTTCTGTCTGAACAGGTGCCTGAGGCTGTTCTTTTGAAGTGTAAAACCAAGGCCTTGACAATTCATGGTCACTAAAGAGCCAGGGGTTGTTTACCCAAGTTTGAGTTTAGACTGTTGTATTTTTGTGCTGTAAAATTCCCTCTATAGTTTCAAGTGTGACTACACTGTTAATATTGCATAATTGTGGTGGTGTAGAATGGTTCCTGTGTCCCACACTAGAAGCAGCTTCACTTCAGTGGTGTCCTAAATGCTTCCTATATATCCAATTCATAAAACATTTCTGGGATCCTCCAGGAGGAGAGATGCTATAGTAATGTAAAGCTGTTAATGTTGTCTCTAGATCTTGGCAGCTGCCCTGAAAGAGTGTCACAGGAAATCAAGTGCCGTGGGCAAACCTCTGTCTTTGAAAGTATTCGTGGCTGGCAGGAACCGTCTGGAGAATGATGGTGCCACTGCACTGGCTGAGGCATTTGGGGTAAGCTCCAAAGTAGGACTTCCTCACAGAGGAGGTATAGGTGTGTCAGATGTATGTGGGCACTGGTTCTGGTAGCGATGGGGGAGCAGTGTATATCCAGACACATATGCTAAAGAAGTGTGCACTGAGGAGAAGGGTGTGCATAAGGTACTGGCCCTCAGTTCATTTTTACCACAGCACTCTGTATGCTGCTGAAACAGTCAACCATTTGAGGATGTTAACACCAAGAAAAGGAGAAGCCTTGGTTAAAGGGGGCATAACTGAGAATAATGGGACAAGACCGAGTACAGAAACAGGATTCGTTTCCAGGATGAGTGACTACTCCACACTATAACCTGCTAACTGTTAGGTGAAGTGATGTATTGCTTGAGTAACTTAATACTGTACAGAACAAGTGATGCAGTTGGAGATAATCTGGCCCTGGGAGGGGGTGGGCCAGATGACCAGGTAGATCTCTATCTCTAATCGCTATGATAGCTGGCCCTTTGCTTTTATCTATGTTCCGCAAATCTCCTGCAGGGGACACTACCAACTGGTGTCTCATTTTTTCCTTTAGCCCTTTGTCTGATCAAGCTGCTAGTGCTGCATTTGGGTTGGGCAATGGAAATCAGGCTGTCCCATGCCCACCTTTCTATCCAGCAAGAATGAATGAGACTCGAATTTGGTTTAGATTTGTGGTAGTTTTGGGGGACTAAGTGACCAGGAGTCTCCATGTTTCCTCACCAACAAACTTTACATTGCCTCCCTCTTTCCTCCTGTGACCTCCATTTCCTAAATTCTTTGTGCCAGATCTCGGAACACCGTGTGCTTTTTCAGATAAAAAGACTTAAAATGATTATATACAGGTCTGGCAAAAAATAAGGATTTAAATTCAGTGCATGGAAATTTGATATACATTCTTAAAGGGTGAAGTTATCCTGAGAGAGACTGGCTGCCATCCGAAAGCTCTTCTAGGCAGAGAATGTCTATCTTCGTCCTGTTTCCTTCAGCCATGAGCACTAAGTAGGGGTGGTATCCATGAAGGGACTAGGTGTCGCAACACTGTGTCACTGCACCTAGAAAGTTACAGGAACAACACAGCATTCCACAAAACCGAATGAGTTGCCTAGACTCCCTACAAGGGGAGAGCGAGGTGCCTGAGAATGTGATCCACAAAAGTAAATGCACCATGAAACCGCTGATGAGATATTTTAATATTTTCATCCTCTGGACAGAGGGCTTAAACTCCCTCATAAATTTCCATCATAACTTCAACAACCACCCCCCGTCTATCTCTCACACACACGTACGTACGTACGTCCAGGAAGTTGATGCTAATCAGCTTGAGCAATGCAACCCTACAGACAACCATATACAAAAAACCCGCACATCAGCAAACCTAACTTAATAGATCCAGCAACCACCCCAAACACACCTAGAAATCTGTTCTCAGCGTGCCTGGCTGTAGATACCACAAAATGTGCTCTGAGGAAGAAGTCTGGGATATACAACTTATACACTCAAAACCGCCTTCACCAAACAACAACACTTCACCAGAGAAGGAGACTGAAGCTTGGATTGGGCCACCCAAATAGCCCAAGAGAATGTGCTTCAATACAGAAATAAAATCCCTTCTGACTGCACACTGCTAGTTGTCACCCATCACCCCACACTGGAACTCCTATGGAGTATCAGATAGTTACAACCCATACTCAATGGGGATCCATCCTGAAAGAAATCTTTTTTTCTTGAATCCCTTCCTCTGGCTTCCAAATACCACCCTCAAGCTCATCAGAAGCAAGCTCCCCACAGACCAGCACTACGCCAACTCAGAGCAGCTCTAGACCCTGCCAGAACAACAGATGCAAAACCTGCAGACATATATCCGCTGCTACAGTGATCATTTTCCCCCCCACAACACACCTTTCAAGGGGTCCTACATATGCCTATCCCAACATGTGGTGTAACTCATCCAGTGCACTAAATGCCCCAATAACTATGTGGGTGAAACCAGACAATCACTATGCTCTCGAATGAACTCTCACAGGAAAATAAGACAAAAACACCATATCAGTTGTAGGTGAACACTTTTCACAAAACAATCACTCTATATCTGATCTATCAGTCCTCATCCTCAAAGGTGTACAGCACTTTCAAAAGTTGAGCCTGGGAGCTTAAACTCATTACTCTGCTAGACACTAAAAATCAGGGACTGAACAGACATTGGATTTGTGGCTTATTACAACCATCTGCAACCCACTAATGCCCTCTTCTTGTCCTCTGGCTGCAGAGGTGTTAATGGGTCACTCTGCCTTGAATGGTCCCTTTAGAATATGTGCTAACTACTTACCCTAAACTATCTGTTCCCCCTTGCATTTTGCTGTGACGCTGGGAGTACCTTTCCAAGCCCTGAAGAAGAGCTCCATGTGGCAGGAAAGCTTGTCTCTCTCACCAGCAGAAGTTGGCCCAATAAAAGCTATTACCTCCTGTCAAGGTTCCTCCCCCACTCTGAACTCTAGGGTACAGATGTGGGGACCTGCATGAAAAACCTCCTAAGCTTATCTTTACCAGCTTAGGTCAAAACTTCCCCAAGGTACAAAATATTCCACCCGTTGTCCTTGGATTGGCCGCTACCACCACCAAACTAATATTGGTTACTGGGGAAGAGCTGTTTGGACGTGTCTTTCCCCCCAAAATACTTCCCAAAACCTTGCACCCCACTTCCTGGACAAGGTTTGGTAAAAAGCCTCACCAATTTGCCTAGGTGACTACAGACCCAGACCCTTGGATCTTAAGAACAATGAACAATCCTCCCAACTCTTGCACCCCCCCTTTCCTGGGAAATGTTGGATAAAAAGCCTCACCAATTTGCATAGGTGACCACAGACCCAAACCCTTGGATCTGAGAACAATGAAAAAGCATTCAGTTTTCTTACAAGAAGACTTTTAATAAAAATAGAAGTAAATAGAAATAAAGAAACTCCCCCTGTAAAATCAGGATGGTAGATATCTTACAGGGTAATTAGATTCAAAAACATAGAGAACCCCTCCAGGCAAATCCTTAAGTTACAAAAAAGATACACAGACAGAAATAGTTATTCTATTCAGCACAATTCTTTTCTCAGCCATTTAAAGAAATCATAATCTAACACATACCTAGCTAGATTACTTACTAAAAGTTCTAAGACTCCATTCCTGGTCTATCCCCGGCAGAAACCAGCATATAGACAGACACACAGACCCTTTGTTTCTCTCCCTCCTCCCAGCTTTTGAAAGTATCTTGTCTCCTCATTGGTCATTTTGGTCAGGTGCCAGCGAGGTTACCTTTAGCTTCTTAACCCTTTACAGGTGAGAGGAGCTTTCCCCTGGCCAGGAGGGATTTCAAAGGGGTTTACCCTTCCCTTTATATTTATGACACCTCCCCTACCTTGTTCCACCAAAGCCAGCATGCTGGGTGAGCAGCCACCTAAGCTAGCTAACAGGAGATGTCAAGAAGAGGGGTATATGCTAAGTCTTACCCATGTCTTAGAAATAGGCACCTAAGTCCAGGCTGCAGGGAGGTGCCTAGCTCTGCTTAGCATACAGTCAATGGGAACTCAATACCTGTAGACAAGCATCTAAGGCGTTTTCTTGCAAGAATGAGTTAAATGCCTGTGCTGCACAAAACAGGGTGGTGATGCTGGGCCCATCTCATAATTGTTAGTTCGGGGGTTAGAGCACTGACCTGCCAGAGAGGGAGCAAAATGGGAGACCCCTGTTTAAATCATCTCCGAGTGTTCTAACCACTGAGCTGGGGGTATTCTGATGTGGGGCTCCCTCAGTCTCTCCTGTTAAAGCTGTTGCACTCTGGATAAATAATGGGAGAATGATAGGAGCAGGGGGACTGAACTTGGGGCCTCCCATGTGGGTGTCCTGACCACTGGACTATAGAGTCATTCCCACTGTTGCCCGTTCTCTCTGTGATTAAGTACTTAAACAGTCATTGGGTCAGAGAGAGCAAGTACATGAGTGAGAATGACTGACTGTAGTCCAGTGGTTTAGACATCCACTTGGGAGGTGGGAGACGCTGGGTCCAGTCCCCCTGCTGTATTCACTCTCCCATTATTTATCAAGAGTGCAACTGCTTCAATGGGAGAGACTGAGGAAGCCCCGTATCAGAATATTGCTTAGAAGAGAGCTGTAACCAGTGAGCTAAGAGGATTTGAACAGGGGTCTCCCACATCCCAGGCGAGTGCTCTAACCACTGAGCTAAAAGTTTTATACGGTGGGTACCACCTCCTCCAGACTTGGAATGGGAGCGGATCTGGTAGGCCCTTCACCTGACTTTAGGAGCCAAATGCCTGTCTTCCAGAGCGATTCACGAACCGGGGGGCTTAGGCAGGAGTTACGTGTCTGCCTAGAGGGAGACAGCAGCGCGTGTGCCCAGAGATAGGAACATAGGTGCAGAGGGACTCTGAAAAACACATTCACTGGGTGAGTTTAGGCACCTATATGGTTCAGCAGGAGTTTTGTGGACCACAGTGGTGCCAAAACCTGGACTTAAGTGCTGAAATACCTTCTTGGCTCCCACCCACCATAGCTGCTCACCAGATAACTCCCATCCAAGGCAACAGGAGTTGTAGGAACTTATTTCTCTGGCTCATGTCTTTCAAATGTACATTTTCCACACCTGTGACTTTAATTATCTTGTATGCTGTCAAATGTGCAAGCAATAGTGTTGCAGAATCCACTTATTGGTGACCCCATCAATCTATGTATTGTTGCATATAAATGGGTAGATATGATCCTGGCTGTTTAACAACTACAAATAAACGAGGCTCTCTATCTTTGGATACTATATAAGTATCTTCCTAGGCCTGTCTTACATTTTTGTACACACACCTAATGGCGTTATATAAATGAGAATTCTGCACATATAACAGTGCTAAACCTGCCTGCAATCCCTAAAACAATGACAGGTTTGTTTTTTTTCCCATATAGCAAAGCACTTAGACTTGTGTGGGCTATAGTCTTATTTTCATGTTATATATTGTATATGCCATACTGCACTGATTCCCATTTTGGAGGGTTTCCTTTGCGACCAGAAGGGCCAGAAGCAGAACTAAAACAAGCAAAAGATTTTGATTCTGCCAAGTGGTCATGTGCCTTGACCTGGAAAGCAGCTTCTTGAGCCAATTCTGGGTTATAGCCCCAAGGCTCAGAATCTCTGGCCAAAGAACAGAAGGAAAACAATATCCTAATCCAGCCTGCGGGATTGCCACCTTTGTGACAACACTCCCAGAAGCGGCCAGCACCACGTCCCTCCTGCCCCTGGGTGGGGGCAGAGGGCTCTGTGCACTGCCCTTGCCTGCAGGCACCGCCCCCCAGAGCTCCTATTGGCAGGGAATGGGGAATCGCGGCCAATGGGAGTTTTGGGGGAGGTACCTGCAGGCGAGGGCAGTGCACAGAGCCCTCTGGCCATGCCCCACCCCCACCACAGGGACATGGTGCTGGCCGCTTCCAGGAGCGGCGCGGGGCCAGGGCGAGCAGGGAGCCTGTCTTAGCCCCGCTGTGTGTCACTGCCACCCCAGAGTCCTGCTCCAGGTAAGCGGCATTGGGCCAGATCCTGCACCCCGCATCCCTCCTGCACCCCTTGCCCTGAGCCCCTTCCTGCACACCGCACTCCCTCCCGCACCCCAACCGCCTGCCCCAGCCCTACATTCATGGCCCTGCATACAATTTCCCAACCAGATGTGGCCCTCAGGCCAAAAAGTTTGACCACCCCTGTTCTAAGCCCTGACTCACCAAATAAAAACATTGGTCCTATCTTGATTTGTCACTGGAGGCATAGCTGCTGGGGTGAGAGGGGTGTATTTGTAACAGTTAAAAGGATTGCAGGGGTTCTGGTGGGAGATGCAGTGGACTCACTCTGGGTGGCAGAGAAGCAACTTGTAAGGTAATCCCGTGGGATGGTGGTTGTCTCTGCCTGTGTTGAAGTGTCTCTTTCTAATGGCTAATCATGTCTGAATCTAGCTCATCGGGACACTGGAAGAGGTCCATATGCCACAGAACGGAATCAACCATCCTGGCATTACAGCGCTGGCCCAGGCCTTTGCTGCCAACCCGTTGCTGCGGGTTATCAATCTGAATGACAACACCTTCACAGAGAAGGGGGCTGTGGCCATGGCAGGGGTGAGTTACTAGCAGTTGCATTGGGTGTCTATCTCTGCTCCCTCCCCCCCCCTTTTCTGTGCTTTGGGGCTGAATGTCCTAGTGAAGCAGGGAGGGAGAAGAGGCTCTTTCCTCTTTGAGTACAAGTGAGTTGGTCGTTCCCTCTATCCCTCACCTGAATTTCTGTCTTAATGGGCGCACACTCTCACTCTCTGCAGACTCTGAAGACTCTCCGACAGGTAGAAGTGATCAACTTTGGGGACTGCCTGGTGCGCTCAAAGGGTGCCATCACCATTGCTGAAGCAGTCAAAGAGGGGCTCCCTAAACTAAAGGTACCACATTCGGCTGCTCCATCTTCAAATCTCTTCCCAAAATACCCTGTATGTTTCCCCTCTCTTGTTCTATGTCCATTCCCCTGCCCCACCCTGTAAAACACGGTTCTTCCAAGTGCAGGCCTGTCAAGTTCTACAGCTCTGCCTACTGCTGCTCTCAGAGATGTGATCTGTGGAAACTATACCTCACAGCCGGCAGTGCTCCAGCGTGAGCTAAGTGGCGGTCTGTTCAGATCAAGGTTGAACACTGTATTTAAAGCCACTTGTCTCATCTACTCTGCAAGTTGCTAACAAGGTTCTTGGGTGGGTTTGGAAGCAACTGTTCTAAACTATGGGACAGCATAAATCAGGAGGGGTACAGGATGAGTGACCACTACAATATGTTCATAAAATGCAGTATCTGTATCTCCGTGTCACATCTTGGATGAGACCCCAGTTCACTAATATTTGTATTATCCTGGCACCTATGGGCCCTGTATTGACTGCAATTCCTGTCCAGTACCATACCCTACTATTTCAATGTCCCTACAGTACTAGCATTTCTGTCAGCCTTTTCCAGGGTGTATCTTACTCAGTCACCTGTGAGATGTTTGGTAAGAGGGTCCCTCTAACTCCAGCCATTGCATTATTATTTACTAGTATTACCAGAGCGCTTGTGGTCTATGCCTATGGCTCCTTTGGCCTCACCACTGTACAAACACAGAACAGAAAGATTGTTCCTTGTCTCAAGGAGCTTACAATCTACATAGAAAACAAGAGACAACAAATGGATACAGACCAATGGGCGAGTGCAAGAAAACAGTGAGACAATATTAGCTACGCAAGGTTATCTCGTACAGAGAGTTGAGTTAACAGCTTGCCTTGTGAGTTTGAAAAAGGGGTCCACTCTGTAGTAGTACCCGTAGCTCAGGCCTGTGTTGTTCCCACTGGAAGTCCACATTTTAAAAACCATGGGGTTAGTTCATGAATACACCTGTTCAAGTAAAACACAGCAATTCTTTCTCCCAGGTCAAAGGATCCCAGGATAAATAACAGGTGAAGGGAGAAGGATGTCAAACCAAAATAATCCATTCCAGGACAAATTCCCTTCAGCTGTTTAATGTTAAATCCCTTCTCGGGGATCATCTCGTTCAATATGTCTCAAGGGATGTTTAGTCTTTGCTCACTGCCTGAGTCCCTTCCAAGTCTTTTTATAACTTAAAAATATATTCCCTCTGTGCTGAGACCAGCCCCAAAGGAGAGAATTCCTTAAACAATTCTGAGCATGCGAAGCTGATGTTTACAATGGAGAATCTGCATACAGCGTTCCTGTAAAGCAGCTTCTCCTCTGCTTCTCAGGAACTGAACTTGTCCTTCTGTGAAATCAAACGAGATGCTGCCCTGACTATTGCAGAGGCCACTGAAGACAAGTCTGAGTTGGAGAAACTGGATCTCAATGGTACGTGAGCATGAAGTTCGATCAAAGCTTATCCAGTCCGTGACAAACTCTAGAACCCATTGGGAAGAAGCCTGTGGGATTGAAATATCTGTATTGCTGCCAGAAGTGTGTGTGTGTGTGTGTATAAAATATTGGTCCTGCTGAGAGCAGCTGAACCAACTAGACGAATAAGCTCTTCTCTCTTCCCCCAAGGCTTTAGTGGTTATACTTAAACCTCTTGAGCCACAGTTTCAAACCCTGCCTGCTGATCCCTGTCGCTTCCTGAAGTGAATACATCTGAGTTCCAGACGTCTGTGTGTGTCTCTAGGATGAGAATTTATAAACAAGGTCCTGTCTGCTCTGCCTTGGTATTAAAGGTCCCATGATGCTATTAGTTTTGCATCGAGGTCTGCTTCTATGTGCTTGGTCACAGTTTCCCGCTCCGTGTGTTGGTTCTTGCCTTCCCTTCCAGAGGTGGCTGCATTTCTATGGTATTATACATATATAATTTGAGAAGTGCTTCAGAATCACCCAAGATGAAAGGAGCTGTATAAATGTACAAGGAGTTCAGTCTCCAAGACTCAAATCTCTTCTGGTTAATTACATTTTTCCTTCTTCAAACTTCCCTTGCAATTAGATTCTGCAATGTTCTTCTTGTCTCAAACCCTTGTGTGGTGTCTGAGTTGGTAAACAGCTGACATATTTTAATGACAAGTCTGCTGTCCGAGCAGTTTGTAAAGTGCTTTGTGTGAAAGGTGTTTATAGAAATGCAAATCAAGCAGCCATTCTTCCAGCCAGAGGTTGGATTTATGGACTTAGTTGAGCATTCTAGTTAAACTTTGTTTTTCTCGTGACAAATTCAGCACCTGATCTGTGAGTGTCTGTCTCTTCCCCACCCCAAAGCTGACTTTTCTCTCTCCTTGCATCATAGGTAATGCTCTGGGGGAAGAAGGCTGTGAACAGGTCCAGGAGATTCTTGAAGGTTTCAACATGGCAGATGTGCTGGGTTCCCTGAGGTAGGCCAAGAGAAAAGGCTATGGCAGGGATCTGCTCCCCATTCAAGTCAAAGCTCTGGCTGTCTGCCTTTTACATCTGTTTCATGTGAGTTCCTGTTTTTATGGGGTCTAGCACTACTTAGAGGTGTTGGATTAACAGGACTGGAGACTGAAAATTTCTATCCCCAGTATGTATGCAAGTCCCACCCCCTCAGTGTCCTTCACACCTTCATCTGGAGGGAGCTCCATAAGGGTGAGATGAGAGCACAGTCTTCGTGGCTTGCTCTACTCTTGACTTTCTGCCCACACTTTTTGCCTGCTCTGGTGTTTTGTGGACACCTGTCCACTAGGACCTAGGCTGAGACTCTCACCTTCATTTCACGCACTGGTTCCCATCGGGCAGCCCTTTGGCAATCTGTCACTGCTGGTCTGAGGCCAGATTAGAACAGGTGACCTAAACATGCCAGGCTCCATAATCCATTGCAGTCCCTATAGGCTCACACTCACTGCCCTAGAAGTGATTTGCTGCCGGTCAGCTTAATGTTTTAAGGCTTGGAAGGGTCTTATTGCATTTTGTAACGACCTGGAGAAGGATTCCCAGGTGTCAATGCATGACCAGGAAGTCTGTATTGCAGGCCAGGTGAACTCTCCTCTTAATCCTTCTTAGTGATGACGAAGGGGAGGATGAAGAGGATGAAGATGACGAAGGGGAGGATGAAGAGGATGAAGATGACGAAGGGGAGGACGAAGAGGATGAACAACAACAGCTGCAGGAGAGGGGGCAGGGAGAACAGGAATCGTTGCCTTCTAAGAAGATTCTTGACTCACATGTAAATGTGCTTTGAGGGATAGCCAATAATCCTTATTGGGAGTAGGGGAAGGAGGTTTGAAATGCGGGGAGGCTATTATGAACTTGTAGTGAACAAGTGGGGGTTCACATACCTCTCCTTTGAACGGATGTGTCAGGGCAGGGGTGGAGTAAGAGAGGAGAGGGGGAGAACAATACCTCAGGAATGTTCTGTGGTGATCTGAAGAAAATTAGCAGGAAAATCTTATTTCTTCCATTATTTTCTGTAGCCACGACAGCCCTGCCTGGAGCCAGATAGTCAGTGTTTTCTGTACAAGCTTTCTCCTCACAGCTTAGCTAGTGCAGCACCCCCTGCCATTCAGGTTCTGGGCTCACTTTTTCCACCCCTTCACAAGCTCTGACAGTGCAGAGAAGTACCGACATGCGGCACCCTCGCTGTGCCAGGTCCATCGCCCTTCCCTACACACTCATGCACCCACAGCTCTGCCGGTGCTCTGCAGAATAAGCTGGGATCTGACTTGCTCTGTTTCAGGACTCTACTCCCGTGTCTCCTCCTCCTCCTCCTGTGGATGTTGCCACATTCCTCGCCTTTCCGTCTCCAGAGAAACTGCTACGACTAGGGCCCAAGTGCTCTGTTCTGATAGCTCAGCAGGTAGGTGGGTCAGTGGCTGCTGTGTGTGTGGCTTTCAGATGGCATGGTTGGTACCACGTGCGTTGGGATAAATTGTTTATCTGCCAGAGATGATCTCTTCCTGGAGTCTCATGACCTGGATTAGGGTCTTGCCATTGTCCAAATGAACAGAATGGAGGCAGACACTCAACTTGAAGCTGCATGTCTATGAAGCAGATATGGTGCCTGCACAGCAGCTGTGTTTCATGGCGTGACTTATACCTCCACGCGCATCCTGATACAGCCACGACAGTTCCTGTCATGTCCAGCCAGGTGGAGGCAATTGTTGCACTGCTCATTGTTGCTTCTGTAGCAATCGCGTCTCTTCTGCCCTCACTCTGCCATGCATTTAATGGCTCCTGCTTTTTGTCTCTTACAGACAGACACATCTGATACAGAGAAGGTGGTTATGGCTCTCTTGAAGATCTCTTCTGTGTTCAAAGATGAAACCACAGTGAAAACAGCAGTGCATGAAACAACAGGTGATGCAGTCTGTGTCTCCATGCAAAGGTGTGGGCTGAAGAAGCCTAACTTGCAACGGTGGCTTCTAAAGAGATCCCAGGGATGGCCTCCCTGGACCATGCCATTTTTTGGTAGTTCGGTCTCCCGTGGCAGCCAGAGGAAGACAGTTCTGTCTCTGTAGTGTGCCAGATTGTGCAGTGCTGTTTTGGAGGGGAATGAGGGTGTGAAACCTCAACAGATCAGTTTATGCCCCCAAAGCATGATGATCAATATCCCTTATAGCTTAATTAGTATTGCTGTGAGTGTTACTTTTCCTGGCATTTTTTGGAGGGGGAAGATTTTGTTTTTGGCCTCAATATCCTGTCAGCGAGTTCCACAGATTAATGAAACTGTAAATAGAAAGTGCCCTCTCTATTCTTATATCTGGGGATATTGTAAATAGGGGGCACCCATTTGGTGTTCTTTTTACTAGTAACTGTCTTAGATCTATTGTCTCTTTCCAAAAGGACTGGAACTGGAAAGCTGTGGGGCAGGGCACAGAGGCTGTGCAGGGGGACCATGTACCCTTTCTATGCTGTGGAGCACAGCACGGGTGCACAGTAGAGTAGAGAAGAGATTTGGGTGGGGTGTGGACTGTGTGAATCCACTGAGCAAAACTCTCCTGTAGAAGTGGTGGATGCTTCCGTAGCCCTGAGGCTGCTGTCGTGGCTGTAAAAGGTGTGTGAAGATGCTCAGTGTACTGCCCCGGGGTTGAGGATGGGGAATTCTCCAGCCTTCCTTCCTGAAATCCCCAGCAGCTGTATTCACCTACATGCAGTCTGCTTATTGGAGCTGTGTACAGGGTTCAGGATTTGGCTCCTCCATCTGGCATCCCTTTAAAGTCTGTTATACTGATTTTACACAATTCACTATTGCCATTAACAGACTCCTGGTGGGTAAGTAGGACAGAAACCACTAAAGGCCTGTTCTGTGCACACCAATAATGTCCCTCGTCACTGAGACAACAACCAGTGATCAGTTGTATCGAAGGCTGTTGCGAGGTTCAGCATGACCAAAATGGCCAGCTGAGCTTCTCTGAGGTCAGCAGGAGATCTCACATGCCTCTGCTAATCTCTGCCTCTGCTCCTGTGGGTGGCTGGCATCCATGATGTGACTAGTGTGCACGTGCATCTGGAACTGAATACTCTTCGCCTTCCCTAGCAAGTTCAGGTCATGTCTGGCAGTGTCAAGAGATGGTTTCTTCAGGGTGAGGCGTCTGTGTGCTGAAGGAGGACTGACCCTCCCTGATGGAAAAATCAATAATGTCGAACAGGGTACCACAGCCACCCCGCTTTCCTGAAGTTACCAAGTGGGGCGAGGGTCTGAGCCACAATTGGCTGATCTTGTGGAACTCTGAAAACCACAGACCTCCTCACTGGAAACCAAACCAAATGCACACCTAGTGGGTGACAGTCCCGTGGGAGCCTGTTGCTCTTGTCATTTTAAAGGTCAGTGAGACCAGCTCACAGCCAAACTGTCAAACCCATTACAGTGAGAGTGAGGCTTTGTGCTACCCAAACGCATCCAGGTTGACCATTCCTTGCATTGTCTATGGCTGAGGTCAATTAACACTTCTTGGCCTCGGCCATAGTTCTTCTCTAGGCCTTTTTGCATCCCCCATACTAAAGACTGGACTCCATGTGACTTCTTGGCTCTCTCTCTCTGCCTCATCTCTTTCAACTCCCAGCACTCACTGGTGGCCTGCAGTAACCTCTGGCAGCAGAGACAAACAGGGTATATAAAGGAGTGTGGCCTCCCACAGTCCATCTAACAGCTGATAATAGTCAAGGCCTCGTGTACTCAATGGCAAACTCGACCTAAATTCTGCACTGACGCCCCTATCTGTGTGGCGTTCTGGTGCAGTAGACTGGAGATTGAGGCAGCGTCGGATAAGCTGAATGTAATTGAATCCAATAGTGAAATGAACAATAGTCACTACAATATCTCGTGGTGCACTTCAGCTTGACACACATTTATTTCTCTCTCTAGATGCCTTGATGAGAAAAGCCTTCATTTCCGCCACCTTTAATTCTGATGCATTCATCACTAGCCTACTGATCCACATGGGTCTGCTCAAGGTGAGAGGGCAGGAGGGAGTTAAAAGTGGGCTGTGATGGGTGAGGTGGGCTGAGTTCTGATTACATTTCTGGTTTAAAAGCTAAGGCTTGCTGGATTGTGGGTAATCTTGTTCCTGTCTCCATGGTAACAGTAAGACTCTGATGTATGCCCAATGCCTGGCGACAATAGAAAACTGCAGGGATAACAAATTCCAGAGTGGGATTATATTAGGGTGGAGGGCATGGATTAGCTGTTCCCAATTCCGTTCTACTTGGTCTAGCTTGTATTTTCAAGATCAGATATCTGTATAAGGTAGGAAGGGTCATACAGACAAACTGGGTTGCTGCTGGACAAAGCTTTTATAGTGTTATGAGCTACCTGTTGTCAGACTCCTGGTTGTAGTCTCATAAATATCTATTCATCACCCTGGTATCCAAAAGGGCCACTTAGTCACATCTTCTGTTTTAAAAGGACCACAGCAAGAGTAAATGAAAGACATCTGACTGAAACTTTGTTTCATTCTATCCAGTGTCCTTGCTAATGTCTGGAGCACCAGTATGTGGCTGCACAGAATAAAACCTGTTAGCAGGATTGTTGTGTTTGAGAATCAGCAGCAAGTTGGCTGACCGCATTAGAACCTGCACGTAGGCTAGAGCATGAGCTGAGCCAAAAGAGGATTGGAGTTGTCTCCATCGGCAAGCTCAGAGTAGTGCTTCAGTGGTCTGGCTGTTCTGCCGTTATAGATCAATCTGGAGCATCTCGGAGCCTCAAGGACTGGAAACATCTGAAAATAAAGAGTCTGGACAAATCAGCAGAAATACTTGGAATACCCTAAAGCCACAAAACTTGCATCATCTTTTCCATCATGTGGCTTTCTGGGGTTCTCACTGATGACTCTGAACCTGGGGAAATGCACAGCTGTGACATGGGTTAGGGACTAAGACACTTCCTTTGGATGTTCTACTCTTTGTTCTCTCTTCCTCAGTCCCCGACTCCCGTGAGGCCCAGTCTAGTTTTCTAGTCTTCTGCTCCGTGGACAGGTTTTTTTCTTTCCCGTCCTGCATCAGATTGCAATCACTCTGAATATGCTGAGGTGAATTGGAGGGTAGAACTTCCTTGGGGCTGGGCTTCGAAGTAGAGAATTGAATTGGGGAGCAGTGTCAACAGTCAAGTTCTCTCTTGGCTGACCAGTTGTTGCTTGTGATCCATGTCTGTCTGTGGCTCAGGTTTGGGGTGGAGAGGGAGGCTGTTTCCATACTTTTTTTACTCTAGACTTGAAGCAATAGCTAGGGCCAAACAAACAAAACACACTTTCAGTGTACCAAATGCAAAGGGATCCACTCAGGAACAGGGAATGCAGGGCAGACTCTGTATCCTGGAAGGCAGTGATCCTGAACAGGATAGAGGAGTTGTGGTGGACAAGCAACTCAACATGAGCTCCCACTGCAATGCTGTGGCAAAAAAGGGCTAGAGTGATCCTTGCTGTATCAATGGGGGAGCAGAGGTAGGGAGGTGACTTTATTTGTGTATACAGCATTGGTGAGACCGTCAGTGGAATACTGCGTATGCTTCTGGTGCCAGCGTTTTAAAAAGGGTGTTTAAAAATTGGAGAGGGTGCAGAAAAGAACCACAAATTATTCAAGGGCTGGAGAAAGTGTCTTATATTGAGAAATTTGAAGAGCTCAATCCTAGTTTATCAAAAAGAAGACGGAGAAGAGACTTGAAACATGTCCAAGTACCTTGATAGGGAGAAAACACTGGGCACGGAGGGGCTCTTAAATTCAGTGACGAGAGGCATAACAGGAACCAGTGGCTGGAAATGAGACAGACAGTGCGCCTTGTTTCTAGCTTGAATTTAACAGTGAGGGTGATTATCCATTAGGTCAAACTCCCAAGGGAACTGGTGGATACTCCATCTCTTGGTGTCCTCCGATCAAGACCCTTGGCCTTTCTGGGAGACACGCTTTAGCCAGTTAAGTTATTGGGCTCCATTCAGGGGCTATTGGGTGAAATACTGTGGCCTGTGATAAATGAGTTGTTGGGCTAGGAGAGCTAATGGTCCCTTCTGGCTTTAAACTTAGAATCAATTTTGGGAGTGACTGAAAACAACATGCCTGGTGAGAGAGGGGCATACAAGAGGGAATAACTGCCCCCTTGGATCTAGCAGGAACTGTAGGCTTCCTTCTCAGCTGAACGAAGGGTCCTGGCAGGGTGTCCGTGCAGAGGAAGGTCTGGAAGAAACATGCATGTGCTCTGTCTAAATTTCTTGCACCTCACAAGACTGTCAAGCCATAATTGAAACAAACTGGAGTCTTTGTGATGCTTTTGTTTGAGATATTCCCCTTCGGGTTGATTGGTCATCTCCTAAATAACCCACTGTGTATAACACAGGAGCCAGCTCTCCCCCCTGCTGCTGAGGGGAAGGCTAATTCCAGCAAAGAATTCGATAGCTGTGTGAATAACCATAGCATCTGTTGTGATGTAAACTAAGATGATCTCCAGAACTAGTCCTTTCTATGACTTACCACAGAAGCTGAGCCTCAGCTGGAGTCAGACTTCTCCCTTTTTGCGTGTGTTGCTCTGTGGAGGTTCGCTTGCATTTTATAGAGGTTGGTCAGTCAGACAGCATGCTGGATTAGATGGAGGGATGACTGCATTTGGTGTGGCAGTCGCAATGTACCTGATTGTTCTGTCCTTCCCCATCTGACAGAGTGAAGAAAAGATCAAGGCTGTCCCAAGCCTCTATGGCCCTCTGATGACCCTGAACCATATGGTCCAGCAGGATTATTTCCCCAAATCCCTGGCCCCAGTTCTCCTGGCCTTCGTGACAAAGTGAGTATTGCACCTTGCCAAGCAGTCCTGTTCTACAGGAAGTTAGATACATCTGCATATGGTTGAGTTAAAAAGAAAAATACATTCTCTTCCCTTCAAGCCTCTAGTGGGTAGGGGTTCTAGAATAAAAATGCGAACAGCTTAAAGGAAAGCTGTTCCTATCTTGCTTAGTCCAACATTCAAAGCTTACAAGGTAAGAAGCACTGATCACGAGGAATGAACTGGGAAACTGACTTTCTAAAGGTGGTCTTAAAACTGGCGTTTATGCAGAGGCAGCCCAAAGGAAGACTAGGATCTAGTTTCCAGCCACAAGTTTAATGAGTTAAAAGGACACTGCTGAATCAGATTTAGCCCCAAATGTATATCTTGGCCATTACAAAGGTAACGTCCAAGATTAATGTTAAAATTTTCATGACTTCAAGTTCCAAAGGAAACTTCTTGAATTCCCATGCACTGCAGCTGCGCGTGAACGCTGCAGTGTTGTGATAGGGCGGTAGAGCTGGGAAATGAAAACGAAATTGACAAGTCTGTTAATTATCTTTGGAGAGAACTCTAAAGATCATGAATAGTGAAAATGTTAAGCCTTGTTCCCTTTTTTTAAAATTCTCTTTTTTAATATTAAAAATATTTCTTATAACGCAGATAAAAGCAATGCTTCTTAGATTAAGTCAGTTTTAACTTTAGTTTCCTTCTAATAATTATGCAAATGTTGTTTTAAAATCATTAAAAGGGAAAGTCTTAAATTTAGCCCTGGGGCAAAGTTACAGATTGATAGGGCATTGGTCTCCAGAGCTATTCTCTCTCCCACTTCCCCCACCGCACACTCCCAACAAGTCAACCATGGAAGCACAGTGGAAACTGAATGTTTGAATAGAACTTAGAAAAACCAAACCAATGAGTCCCCACGCACTCTGTTGCTGTACATATCTGTCCCTTCTCTAGTGGAGAGGGAAACTGAGTCAGAAAGGCTTTGACTTGCCAAATCAACACACACTTAGGATCCATGTCAGGGAGTTTGGTGAGTTTCTTAACCTGATTATATCATGTTCAGTCTGCACTGAACAGTGGACATCTTTTTAAACAAGTTCCATAATCAAGCTAAGACTTTGGGCAGGCGTAAAGCTAAAATTGGTCAGGCACAGTATTAATTGCGTGTATTCCCAAAACACTCAGAGGCTCTCATGAAGATGAGGATCCCACTGTGCTGGGCACCATGCAAATGCGTAGAAAGACATTGTCTTAAAAGTTTGTGTCCCTTTCGCAGCCTTTTGTAGGTTGTGCACGCTTATAAATAGCTGGCCTTGCTTAATAGCTGAACTGAAGGGCTGATAGTTAACTGGTTGACTTCTAGCCGTCACAGCAGAGATATGAAGGTGGAGACAGCTGGCTTTGCAGATCAGTTCAGGGGCTCATTCCACCTGCAAAAGACAGTATGGCTATAGCTGCAGAGGTAGCTGTATACGAAGCTGCCAAAGGGTGGTCAAACCTGGCTCCTGTAGCGGTATTGCAGATTGGGGGGGAGGTGGGGCAGGCTAAAACTCGAGTTCCTGATTCCTGACCTAAAGGGGAGAGACTATGCGAGCTATTCACATCTCTCCTGCAAACATGTGCTGTGTGCTGTTGTTGCAGTCCGCAAAGGAAGGATGAGGAAATGGGGCTGGTAGTAGTCCTTGCTGAAGGGGGCAGGATGTAATAAACAAGCTGCCGTAGCAGTCCTGTCTGTTAGCTCTCTTTCCTTCCCCCAGAGCCTGACCTGTAGCCCTGTTCACCACCTTTCTGGCTCTGAAGCAGCCCCTCCCCAAGTAAAGAAGAGCGGAAACTGTGCTGTCCCCAAGCCCCCAGATCACTGGACCCGTCTGCACTATTTAAACGAAACATTCAAGGGAGAGGTGTTCCTATCCCAGACCTGCCAGCCTTGTGCTACTGCTGTGACAAAAACCTGTCTAAGTAAAACTGACGTGGACAATGGGCCACGCTGGGGACTCCTTGTAACATTCACTTCTAGTGATTTGTTGTGGAGTCAGGTGCACAATTAACAGGCTCTTCCTCCAGCCTAATCTCCGACTCGACAGTGTCCGGTGGCTGCGTACGCTGAGGAGTTCATTCACAGCACGCTCTGCCCTGGATGTGGATACACCCCTCTCTTAGGCTGTGGGCCAGCAGTTAACCCTATGTGTTGCTCTCTGAGCTGTGCCCATAACACACCAAGCACAGTGGCAGCCATGATTTTGCTGCATTTAGATCAGTGGTTCTCCACCAATTTACCTTTGTGGGCCACATGTGCAGCTTTCTCCGTATTATGTGGCCACATCCACACTATATACATACGTACATACTGTATGGCCCTGAGGATCTCACATGGGCTGCAGCCGTATGCTGATAGGGCTGTAAGCGGGCTGTGGGTTGAAAACCACTGATCTAGATGTTTGGGTACCTCAGTGACAGGCTTGGTATAGATAGGTAGAGCTTCCAGAGTGCAAACGTGGCCCCATTGATGTCAGGAGTTTTGCCATTGGCTGCAGCACAACTTTGCTTAAGAATGGGGAAGAGAAGAAGTCTGGTTTTTCTGGGGGGAGAGGAGGAGGTGGGGAGGGGAGGGGAAGAAGCTAGAGGGAGGAATGTGTGTGTCTTACAGTGATATAATGTCAAATCATAAAACAGCCTAGGGACTTTTGCAAAGGAAATGTCTTAACATATGGTGAGAGCAAAAGGAAAAAACAAGCTAGTACCAAAGCTGCAGAGTCAAGCAGTTAAGTCATGCCATTGTCCAAGTGAAAGCTTCCTTCCCAATGCTAATCTACGGTGGGCGGTAATACAGGGGGGATATGCAACATGGCAAGAGAGCACTTTTTTGCTGCTTCAGGGCTTACTTTCTCTGCCTTAACACCTCATGCCCCGGCTGTGCGGGTTAGAGGGAATCGGGAGCTATGCAGCTGAAAGCTTTGCAGGGTTCTCTAGTGATTTGCTATGTTCCTTCAGCTGCTCCTGCAGTCAAACCTTGTGTGTCCAAAGGGCTTCACCAAAGCTCTTGGTAATCCAAGGTCATCTGTGTCCCCTGTTTGCCTGGAGCTCAGATGCTGAGGAGCTTGTCCTGTTCCTGTCCAAAATTAACGGGTTGGTCCAGCTCGCTACAGAGCCAACTTTTGCTCATTGGAGTGCTCAGGTAACAGCCTTGGTCAGCTTCCTTTGGGAATCTAGTAAGCCCCTTCAGCTCATTGGCCTGAGCTTCCATGGTACATGAATCCAAGCAGCTCGCCTGGCCTTGTTAACCTATCAGCTCTTTTGTAATGGGCTGTGGAGCTACAAAGTTCCTGTGAGCTGCTTCGGTCAAATCAGATGTTGCGTACTGTGTCTCCAAGCTCCATTACCGCTCAGTAGGAGAAGTTATAAATGCCTGTAGCCAGCGCCCTCGGGACTCTGGGGGTGAGGAATTGGCCACAGAACTTGCTCAGGGTGACAGAATTTTTCCTTTTAGATTGTAAGGCTAGAAACAATCGTTGAGTAAAAGAACCTCAAAAAAAAAAAATGCGTAGTGAGTGTAAGCGATGCCCATCTGACTCTGCAAAGGGCCTGAATGCCGTGGCTCTGATCATCTTGGATGGAAGTGCTGAGGGCTGGTTCTCTGCCTGGAATTTCTGATTTCCCATCCCCCACAGCTGCTGCAGACTTCATTAGCTGGCTGCAGTCAGGCTCCGACCATTTTGTTGTGTGTCCCTGCTCTGCTGGGGTTTGTCTGCGGCTGCCTCTCTCAGCTCCTTTCCCCACAAGAGGAAACTGATTATGTACAGTGCATGCACCCTTCACTATTCTGTAGAGCCAGGCTGCAGGGAGCCCAAGGTAGGATCTAGCTGAAGAGAAGGGGGAGCCTTAGAAGTGCAGGCTTGAGCAGCAGAGGTTCAGGGAACTCGGATACAGTTCACTTCACTAATTCAAGATCCCTCCTGTCTCGTGCACAAGGCCTGGAAAGGAGATTCCAAGTTAAGCCCCACACATAACATCATAGCTGAGACCCGCAGGGCTGGGCTGGCTGGAGAACACAGTGAAAAATCCATAATCCAAAGTCATGTAATGAATTGTACATCAGCGAGCATCGTCAGCAATGAACCAGTTGGGGGCAGGAAGGATGGGAATGAAGGGTAGGGCATGGAGATGCAATCCATTAACAGTGCTGCAGAATTTGGTCCATTGGATTGCAGAGAAAACAGCGTCCTGTCTCTCGCCAAATACCTCGACTTGCACAGCTTAGCAACAAGGAAATGCTGCTCAGTCCCATATTTCAACATTTCTGGCTTCATTTGAAAGCCACGTCTCCCTCAGATGGAGCACGGCACATATTGCTGTTCTATCACGGGGGGAAGGGAGCTGGTCAGAATGTTTTTCATTGGTGGTATTGGATTCAAGTTCTTCAGGAACACATCACCTTGGGCCAGTCAATCCTCATGCTTCAGGGCACCAGTAGATCACTTGCATAATACAGTGTGACACAATGCACTGCACTGGGTGTGGGGGGGGTATTTTCCTCTGAAACAGCTAGCCTTGGCCGCTGCCTGAGGTGGGATTCAGGACTAGACGGAGCAATAGGCTGATTCAGTGTAGCGATTCCTATATCTCGTCTGACCCTGTCTCTGAATAAGAATGAAATCCCGTTCAGCTAAATACTCCAGCCAGCTGACTCTTGAGTTCCTGGCACCGTACTGTGCCGGTGAGCCCCTGAACTCATGGAGAACTGGCATTCAGTGAGTCAAAGTGCAGTCAGGGGGCAGCTTTTAAATGAGCTTTTTGTCTTCTCTCCTCTCTCTCCAGACCCAGCCGTGCTTTGGATTCCTGCTCCTTTGCCCGCCACATGCTGCTGCAGACCCTCCACCAGCTGTAGTAGGACCCCAACTCTGCCCCTCCCCCCCATAGGACTTTTATCAGCGAGAGCTCTTAGCCAGCTGGCGGGAGAGGATGTCGGCACCCGTGGAAACATGCTGTCCGTCTCTCACAGGGATGTCCGTCCTTCCTTCTACTTTAACAAACGCAGAGGAATCCTGCTGATATTTTTTTACTTTGTTTTTCCATTTTTTAATTGAAGGCCCCTCTTCCAATGGGCAGGCAGCTGTGCCAGAACTAGTCCTCCGGGGGCTCTTCATTGCTCTCCATGAATTGGAACAAGGGTCCCATTAAACGCCACACTGCTGGAAGGGGTTGTGCCCAAGCTACCGTCTTGCAGAGGGTGCTGGACAGGGGCTTTCTCTGCAGCAGCAGCTGCACCAAGCCGGGCTTTTGCATGGTGCTGTGGCTTCCATCTCCTGCTGCCCTGGGCCACGCACCTGGAAATTGCAGCAGGAGTTTTGCTTCTCCAGGGTTATCAAATTGCCCAGCCGCCTCCTGCTGCTCCCGGCTTGGGAGAGGGGGATGCTCCCCCCTGCTTTTGTATTCCTAATCTAACTGGGAGAGGGGTCCTGTGTGGCCCATCTGTATGTTAATCTGCTAATCCCCTGCTATGCTAGAGTGGAGCTTCCTGCGGTAGGGCTGGCCCTGGTGGTCTTTGCCTGTTCATTGTGATATTGCCATAGCCTGCCTTCCCCTACCCCTACTTCCCAATTAAAATAGGCTTGGTTTAGAAATGAGTAGAATCAGCTGAATCCTGGAGGGGGGTCCATGTTCAGCACTCACCCCAAGGGGAGCAGTAAAGAAAGAAGGGGATCGGCACCTGGGGCCTTGAATACTTTCCTGGCAGATCATCTCAGGGCTAGGAACTGCAAACTTAGCAGCTTCAGTGCCAAGAATTAGCTGAGGGTCTCTAAGCATGTTAAAATATGGGTGAGGGTTCTGCACCCATAAATGACACTGCAGGTCTGAATTTTTCCTGTTGACTAGCACCCCACCTCACCCTACATACGCACATTGACGTTTGGGGGAAGGGCATGGATGGGTTCTTGGTTCATGGGGGTAGTAAAGGAGAGAAGGAGATGTCCTAGTTTAAGGTTTCCTCAGCTCATTCTCCAACCTTCTCCTCTGCTCCCCAGTCACCTTATTACTCACAGTAGTGCAGTTCTGGGAGTTTTGCCAGAAATCTTTGCCCTGGAAAGGGGGGCAAGGAGCCTCTCCACTTCTAGCACTGCTGATAAGGGACCATCTTGGCCTTAAAAGCACTGCTGCCTCTGAGGGGAGTGGCTGTAATTTGATTGCTGATGAGCAGCACAGTCTGCCAAGGGGGGCAAGGAGCCTCTCCACTCTCACCCCATCAAACCCACCCCTCCCCCTGCAGCGAGCCTCAGAAAATACAGGTGTCTGGCAGTGGGGCCTGTAGGTCAATATATTTGGGCTCTGGGTGTCAAATGCAGAAGGGGGAGAGTGAGAAATTGAATTACCTTAATTTCCTACTAGACTAGAGCTATTACATCTCCCTGCAAGCAGTCTGTCCTCCCCTGGCTTGAGGCAGCCACAACTCACCCTGGTGCAGGACCAAGGGGAGGTGCCTGGTATTTTCTCAGAGAAGCGAGAGGAATTCTAGGTTAATTCTCGACTAAGGCTCTAGGAGTTCTCCACATGTTGCCTCCCCTGCCAGTGAGCCTCAGACAGAGTCCAGGTAGCAGGGAGTTCAGCCTCCATGGCCTGCGGCTAAGGCTAACGGCACAGGTTTATTTGAACATGGCTACCTGGCCATTGGAGCAGCATCTTCCTATGCTGGAAGGCTGGGCTCCAGCTAAACACGAATGGCACCATATTGTTGGCATGTAAAATTAATGTCATAGAGTTTTAAAATTAAGGGCTGGGGGAAGCTGACAGGTGCGGCGGAGCGGATGGTTTGGGCAGCCACATTCCTTGGGGAAGGAGTTGTTAAAGTGGCTACTCTATATCCTAGTAAAGAGGAGAGGGTAGAAGTTGATAATGTACTGGTGGGAACTGAGAAACAAAGGCAAAAGGCCTATTCAGTTACAGCACGTGAAGACAGACAACTAATATTGAATGCAGTGTTGTAGCCAGTCCCAGGACTTTAGCAAGACAAGGTGGGGGAGGTCATAGCATTTATTGGACCAGCTTTGGTTGGTGAGAGAGAAAAGCTTTCAAGATGCTTGAACACCTCTCACCAACCGAAGCTGGTATGGAACCGCTTCCATAAGAGGAGAGATGAAAAAGACTGAGTGCGGACATGATAGCGGTCTGTAAAGGCATGACTGGTATGCAGAAAGTGTTATTTACCCTTTCATATAACACAAGAACACGGGGTCACCCAATGAAATTAATAGGCAGCAGGTTTCAAACGAACAAAAAAGTATTTCACACAACACACAGTCAACCTATGGCAGTTGTTGACAAGGGATGTTGTGAAGGGCAAAAGTATAACTGGGTTCAAAAAAAGTAGATAGGTTCATGGACTCTAGGTCCCGCAATGGCTGTTAGCCAAGAGGGGCAGGGATGCAACTCCATGCTCCGGGTGGCCCTAAATCTCTGACTGCTAGACGCTGGGACTGGACGACAAGGGATGATAAATTGCCCTGGTCTGTTCGCTCCTTCCAAAGCAACTGGCACCAGCCGCTGTCAGAAGACAGGATACTGGGCTTGACAGAGCATTGATCTGACTCCTATGGCCGTTCTTACGGCCACCCACTCCCTTGAGGCTGCTGCTCATCCAGTTGTGCCTTTTGGACACTACCAATGCATGCTGGCCCCTAACTGGTGCCCTGGAGTGGAGAGTGTCTGTGTCCCTTCACCAGTTCCAAACTCTGTCTAACTAGCTGTTCTTACGACCCGCTCATCTAACAACAGACGAGCCACACAGCTGTATGAAATGGTTTTACTGTGGGCTTTATTAGTCCAGCAAACCAAGCATACCACAGAGGGAAGGCGGTGTACCATTTAGGCCACAGTGCTCTCCAGGAGCCCAGGTGAGTGATATGTCACTTCTTTCTAAAGGGAGGAGGGAGTGGCTAGTAGCAAAAGACCAGGACTTTGCCTGTAGACAAAGGGGAGATGAATGATGAGGGTTTTGTCCTGTTCGTTTATAGATTAATGGAGAGTAAAGATGAAATATGATGACACCTTGTTTGTCTGCCCCACACGGTTTCAGAGTGCTACACCCAATTGCTTTGTGACACTGAGCAAGCCACTCACCGTCCGCCTCATTTTCCCTGTTTGTCAAGGGTTAGTGACACAGCGCAGGTGGGCGGGAGGAAGGAAGAATGGTGCTTAGGTGCTTTGGAAATGAAATGTGCTAGAAAGGCCTTCACCACTTTGCTTGGGAGATTATGCCACAGCCTCCTACACTTCATGGGCCGGGGGCAAGTCCAATGCAATCAGAAGTGGCATAGAGTCTGGAAGAGGCTCAAATGCTGTTCAAGAGTGAGAATGAAATGTGTGGGCCAGGCCAGTGCCCAATAGTCGGGAAGGGGGGGTGCAAATAGCCCTGGCAGAGAGGAGAGCAGAGCAAGGTCAGTATTTTCCAGCGTTCTGCGTGTCCCTCCAGCTGCTTTAGGAAGATGCCTTGGTTGAAAGAAAGCATTTGTGCGGAGTGAGAGAGGGGCCTTTGCCCTAGGTCATGGGCACCCTTCAAAGCACAGAATGGAAAATAAGATTTATTTTTTTTTTTTAGCTTGGAAGCAATGCATTTAAAGCCTCCCCACCCCCACCTTTATTTTGGACAAAATGGAACGTTCAAAAACCTGCACCAAGACAGCGGCGGGGCTGGGTGTATGGGAAGGTTAAATGCTACCACCAAAGGACAGTGACTGTCAGCTTTGAACGGCTTGTTTGGCCTGGAATTCACATCCTCCGTGATGTCAGGGGTCTAGATGCAGCAACTGACCTGAGCCCTGTACTGCACCAGAAACACAATTCCTTCCTTGCTCCCCCCATCGCGTAGCACCCGGCTCCCCTCCCCAGCCTTTCACAGGGGCTAGGCAGGACTGGTGCAAATTCCTTCTCTGCTCCTGTGGCTCCCTCCTGGCCTTCACTAGGCCTCAGCTCTGGTCAAACTTGAGCTGCAAACATCTTTTCTGCCTTCCCCCTTCTCTGGGTCCTTCTTATGTCCACCCTACCCCCACGGGTGCAAAACTACACGCCAAAACAGCGAGAGAGAGAGAGAGCGCTGCTTTTTTGGGATGGGGGTGGGGGGGTGGCAGAAGCTGCAAACAATCCCAGGGAGGAGGAACTGACTCCAAAAGCATGTTCTCCTGAGATTTCCAGTCCAGCTTTGCTATAAATAGCAAACCCCCAGCCATGTAGAGGTTGCCTGTCAAATGGAAACCAGTCACCAACCCTGCCTTTCTACATCACCCCTGGCTGTGAAAGGCTTTGTGAATCACATGGGTACCACAATGGAGATCCTGCTTCTCAAAACTATTTATGTGAGGCAAGAGGCTGTGCATGACCCTCCCTGGAGAGTCTCTGCGGGGGGCATGGACTGGGTTGGATAAAAGGGGCCCTAAGCCACAGGCTTTTCCCATCTCAGTTTTCTAGGCTCTGCTTTATTGTCCAGGTCAGTCACAAGGGGCGGATACAGAACTGTCTGGTTTACTCCTCGGGGCTCTGTGGGTGAGCGGCAGACCCCATTGGGCAATTCCTGCTCAGCCATGGGATGCTAGGGAGCAGTTAGAATCACAGAGACACATACGTGGGTGCGGATGTGAGCCTGGGTGGGGCAGATATGGTGCAGTCTACTTTCTCCTCTGGGCACTGGCTGGCAGCTGTCACATAACTGTGCCAGTCCTCATCCTCCATGCTCTCGTCAACTGGGTCTGTGGTCATCTTGGCTTGGTTGCTGCTCCTGCGATGACGGGGTGACCCATCTTCATCATAGTAGCGCTGGAATTGGATCGGCCGCGTCCGCAGCCTATAGGTGACGGCCAGGGCCAGTGCTGCGAGTGCTAGGAGAGCGACAGCAACACCGAAGCCCACGGCCGAGTGGCTGTGGCCAAGCGGGGCGTGCACGGGCTGTGCATCACTAGGAAGGCCGGCAGTGCGCTCTGCTTTGCACTGCCGGGCGGCAGGGGCCTGGCACTCCAGCAGATTCTCATTCTGGGGGATGACGCAGACTCTGTACTCAGTCCCTGCGTGGAGATCGTGGAGTGTCACCTCGGCCAACCCTCCCGCCACCCGCAGCACCTGCTCATCCTGGCCAGCCGTGTACCGCACCTCAAATTGGTCGTGGTCACCGGAGAAAGCCCAGGCTACCACCAGGGAAGTGTCGCCCTTCGTCCTGATGCTGACGCTGCTGATGTGGTCGGCCAAGCATGGGTCCCACCTATCCAGCACACGGTGAAGGGAGGTAGCTGAGTGCATGGTGGAGCTGGGGAGCCTCCTTGTGGTGGTCAGGGCAGTGGAGGTCGTGGTGATAGCTGTGGTAGCAGCCCGTGGGAGAGGTATGTCTCTGGACAGAGCAATGGCCGTCAGTGTATTCATGTTCTCAGAGGGGCTGAGGGTGGTGGAGTCCGTCCCAAAAGGTGGGCAAGTCAGCTTCTGTAACTGGGCAAGGGGGGAAAAAAACTCACATGAGAGAGAATCGGCTCTTCTGTTTCTTTAGGGCCTGGATGAAGCACCAGCAGAGATAACTCCTCCCCACTGACAGGCAGAGGCTTCTGGGAGGGAACAGCCCAGCCCTCCTGCACCTCAGTCCCAGATAGGAGTGGGAGATCATTTTGAGGGGTTTAGGACAGGAAGTGGAGAATGCCTGATCCAGTTAAAACTGTAGTGGGGGGATTGGTGAGACTGGAAGGATATAAATTACCCAGGTTAGAATTGTCCCAGGATACCAAGCTAATACTGCAAAAACAATGAGGAGTCTGGTGGCACCTTAAAGACTAACAGATTTATTTGGGCATAAGATTTCGTGGGTAAAAAACCCCACTTCTTCAGATGCATGGAGTGACTAACAAATAAATCTGTTAGTCTTTAAGGTGCCACCAGACTCCTCGTTGTTTTTATGGATACAGACTAACAATGCTACCCCTCTGATATAAGCTAATACCTCTTACAGAATCAGTCCGGGGGTCTTTTATGGGCAAGAATGTCAGTGTGGCTCTGTTTTCGGGTGACCACGTGTCTCGGAACCAGGACTGGCTCAGTTTCCAGGGCCTGTCCCAACCTGACAGTGGCATTTTGTCCTGTTTCTGGAAACAACTCTGGTCCCCTGAGGAGACCACCAGCCAACTGAGCTGGGAAAGCTGACAGCAGGTTGAACGGCTGTGGCCCAGCTTCCCCCAGGCAGAGGCAGATACCAGGAGAGGTGTCTGTGTGCTGTCCACCTCCCCTGCACTTCAGGTGAACAGCGGATGCAGGACACAGAAGGAGAGGTGTGCAGGGAGGGACAGGCTGAGAGTGAATGTGACAGGATGAAGAAGGGTGTGGCAGAGAGAGGAAATGGGAGATAGGAAGGGAAGAGTTGTGCTGGTCTTTGCATTAAGCCAACATGAACTTGTATTTGAACAATTCTATTATTTTTATTCACGCCTCACATAAAGTGGGAACCAGAGCCTGCCATAAGCTGCATCCAGCTCCGAGCGCTGACACCCAGCGTCTTCTGCACTGCAGGATGGCCTCTGCGGTGACACCCTAAGCCAGCAGCCCCGGCTGCTCCCCACAAGAGCTAGGGAGAGCGGGGGAAGCAGGAAAGAGAGGAGGGGGAGAGAGAGGGTCTGAGCAGAGGAGAAAGGGAGGAAATGAAGACAAAAAACCACAATAAATAGAGCGTGCATCTGCTTCTTTCTTCCCTTCACCAGCTGCCAAACTCGCCCTGTATGCACCTTCCTGATTCCCCTCCCAACAATTGCTTTCTGATTTTCTGTGACCTCCCCAGCCCCTCCACCCAAAAGCACTACCTCCCAGCAGACAATATTGTGAGGGCCGTGGCCTGGAGTGGCTATCTCACAGCCCCAAGGGTCACGGAGCTGCTATCAGCTGCAATCAGAGGAGATCTTCAACTCTGCGGAAGGGGCCCATGTTTTCAAGCTAAAGGACCGAGTTTCAGCTCCCCAGGGGAATTGGGCGTATTTAAATAACTGTCTGTTGTCTGCAGCGCATGGAACTGTCTGTGTCCCATCCGCATACTGGCTAGGCCTCACCCTGCCGTGAGATCTGCAAGGGCATTGGTTACATCGGTCCTCTCCCTTTTAAAGTATTGGGCCGAAGGGAGAAGAGACTTAGACTGGAAATCCTGTGCGCCCCGGCCCCAGCCCACCACTTTCATGTATTCTGGAACCACAGGCCATTACCTCTATGTCCACCAGCAGCTGTCCCTGTAGCGTCCCCGGGGAGCTGCATTCCACGGGGCTGCGTTCTTTCCGGAGCACCTTCTTCTGCCAGGTGCGGAGCCAGATCAGGTTGCAGTCGCAGCGCCAGTTGTTCCCAGTCAGATACAGAGTGGAGAGCGACCTCAGGGAGGACAGAGGCGGGAGCGACTCCAGGCTGTTGTTCCTCAGGCTCAGCAGCTCCAGCCAGCGGAGCCTGGTGAAAGCCAAGGAGGTGATCTTCTCCAGGGCCAGGCTGTCCAGGAACAGCTGCCTTAGGGAGCGAAGCCTCCTCCCAAAGGAGAGAGATGTCAGCTTCCGGATGGGGTTACCACTCAGCTGCAGAGTGGAGAGCGTGGAAGAGGTGCGGATGGCTGCGGGCACGCTCGCCAGCTGGTTCCCGTCTAGGCTGAGGGCCCGCAGGCTGCCTGGGAGGGCTTTGCTGGACACATTGGTAATATGGTTCGCGCTCAGGTAGAGCCGACGCAGCCGCGGGAGGCCATGAAGGGCTTGTTCGGAGAGCTCCAGCAGCAGGTTGTTACTCAGATCCAGGACACTGAGCTGCTTCAGGGAAGAGAACCCACCTGAGAGAGAGAGAGAGAGACCCATCCAGGTCAAGCCAATATCAAATGTTCTGTGCTTCAATAATCTCTGATCATGTGGCCCCTCCGCTCCCCCGGCCCTGAGTTACCCCTCCCATTTTCCCCTGGCTAAAAGGAAGTGCTGACTTGGTATCATGGACATGCAGGACCCGTCTGTGGCAGTTCTGGCCCCCATCCTCTCAGCAGTGTGGGGTCTTCAGGAAACCAACAACTTGGGACAGGGATTAGTAGAAAAGAGGCGTGGGGCTGGTAATGCTGGTTGCTCAGGTAGCCGGCTCATAGTGGTGCTGGGGGCCTATCCATCCAGAAATACCTGGCGGGAGGTGAGCAATCTGGTTGTGCTCCAGGTGCAGGAAGATCAGATTTGTCAGATTCTCAAAGACACCCTCTGGGACCTGCTCCAGGAGGTTGTTGTCCAGGTGGAGATGGTACAGATTCTTGACCCCCTGAAAAGCCCCAGGCTCAATCCGGTGGATGCCACTGCTGCCAAGATAAATGCTGCTGATCTCAGCCAGCTCTGGGAAGAAGCCTGCTGAGAGGGTGCTGAACTGGTTGTGCTGTAGGTCGAGCTCCACGGTGGCATTGGGAATACCAGGGGGAAGAGAGGATAAGCTGGCATTGGGGCACCGGACAAACCACTGGGAGAAGAAGCAGGAGCAGTTCACAGGGCACTGGGCATTGCCTGGGAGCTGTGTGATGGCCATGACTGGAATCCACAGCAGAACAAGGACCACAATCCAGAGCCTCGACATAGCGTCTCTGTTTGCAAGACAAGGCAGGCAGCGAGTGAGACAGATGCATACGTATTGTAAAAGGCCTGGGAACAGGATAGATCACACCTTGTCCACACCTCCCTGAGACTGTCCTTCCCTATGCTATATTCTCCAGGGAATTTGTCCAGACCACTCTTAAATTACCCACTGTCCACAGAGGACTATTCCACAGCCCAGCAGATCTCACTGTTAGGAGATGTAATATAATGCAGCCAATGTGCTCCTATCACTCCAAGTTTAATAAACCTTTGAATCAATCTGAACAGTTCTTAGCCCTTTTGTTTTTACCCCACTGATGGTCTACGTGCTTGTCATCTCACTCCACTTTGGCTGAGCTACAGGAATACTGTTATTTTAAATCTTCTCTTAGGTCATTTCCTGTAGCCCCTTTGTGGATTTTAGATCGTCTTCTCTGGATTCCCACCACTTTATTAATACGTTTCTGTTACCAAGAGCTAGCAGAGAATGAAGTTCTCAGAACCAGTGACATGGCTCATCTGCTACCAGCTGCATGTGACGATGTCCTGTGGGGGTCCTGCCTCAGCGCAGGGGGCTGCACTAGATGACCTCTCAAGCTCCCTTCTAGTCTTACATTTCTATGTGGCAGACCCATAGGAACAAAGGAACTGCTGAAACCAGATCAGATCATTGCTCCATCCTGTCTGGTATCCTGCCTCCAACCGTGGCCAGGACCAGATGTTTCCAGTGCCACAGTCTAAGGACACACTGTGCTTTGTCAGCAGCTGCTATAGTGTCAAAGACTCATAGACTTTAAGACCAGAAGAGACCATCATGATCATCTAGTCTGACCTCCTGCACATAGCAGGCCACAAGACCTCACCCCACTCACTCCTGTAATAGACTGATCCTTAACCTCTGGCTGAGTTACTGAAGTCCTCAGATCATGATTTAAAGACTTCAAATTACAGAGAATCCATCATTACTCTGCAGAGGAAGGTGAAAACCTCCACAGGGTCTCTGCCAATCTGACCTGGGGGAAAATTCCTTCCTGAACCCAAATATGGTGATTAGTTAGACTCTGAGCATATGGGCAAGACCCACCAGCCAGACACCTAGGAAATAATTCTCTGTAGTAACTCAGAGCCCTCCCCATCTAGCGTCCCATCACCGGTCATTGGGGATATTTACAATGGCAGATGCAACTGGGCCATATGCCATTGTAGGCAATCTCATCATACCATTCCTCTACACACTTATCAAGCTCGGTGTTGAAGCCAGTTAGGTTTTTTGCCCCCACTGCTCCCCTCAGAAGGCTGTTCCAGAACGTCACTGCTCTGATTGTTAGAAACCTGCATCTAATTTCAAACCTAAACTTATTGATGGCCAGTTTATATCCATTTATATATAAATTGGCCCTTAACTTAAATAACTCCGCTCCCTCTGTGGTGTGTATCCCTCTGATGTATTTATAGAGAGCAGTCATATCTCCCCTCAGCTTTCATTTGGTTAGGCTAAACAAGCCAAGCTCTAAGTCTCCTTTCAAAAGGTAGCTTTTCTGTTCCTCGGATCATCCTGGTAGCTCTTCTCTGCACCTGTTCCAGTTTGAATTCATCCTTCTTAAACATGGGAAACCAGAACTGCACTCAGTATTCCAGGTGAGGTCTCACCAGTGCCTTGTATAATGGCAGTAACACTTCCCTGTCTCTACTAGAAATACCTCATTTGATGCATCCGAGGACTGCATTAGCCTTTTTCTCGGCCACATCACACTGGTGGCTCATAGTCACCCTGTGATCAACCAATACACCCAGGTCGTTCTCCTCCTCTGTCATTTTCTCCTGAAATGTTCTGAATAGAATCTGGTCACCTCACCGCCCCTAGGGATCAACTCTGTGCCACGCAGCAGACCTGGCTTTGATTCCTACTCTCCTGTCCCAGAGCAGGCCCAATGCCCGAACTGGTTTCTACCCTGCAATGAGGAAGATCCAGGGTTGACTCCCAGTTGCCCTGAGCCCTCCCAGGGGACACTGCTGTGCCAGAGAGGAGACTCAAATTTCATTTCTGCTGCCCGGAGTCGGGCAGACCAGGGGTATTCCAGAAATCAGCGCGGTGGCCGACACTTACTGCTCTGGGCTCCCACTTTGGGAGAGCGGGGAATTAGGCTTCTCACCTCTGATGATATTTTGTTCCAAAAGTTTGGAGGGTTTCTAGGGCTTCAAGTGGTCTGGAATAATCACCAGGTATGGCTTTGTCTGGCAATGGATTTTCACCAGTTCATACCAACATCCTCCTTCCTGCCAGGGCGACAGGACAACATGGTGAAAGAGGAGCACAGTCAGTCAGATCGGCTCTACGGTTGGGTAGCTTCATCTTTCGCTGTTCTGCCTTCTTTTATTCTCTTCTCACCCCGTTCTGCCTCCATGTGCCTCTGCCCTCTGATTTCCATTCCGCTCTACTTCCTCCTCTCCCTCTGGATTCCCTCCCGCTCCCAGGGCGACAGACTCAGGCAGTGTCAATCCGCCTTCCTACCGGGAAGGCAATGGCTTTACACCACCAAAGGATCTGGCCCCCACTGTCTCTCTGACTGCTCCTGTTGCTTTCCTCCCAGTTCTCTCTGCCCTGGTCTTGCTCCCTTTCCTTCTCCTCCATGGCAGGGGGACACTCTCTCTCCCGTCTCCTCCTGAATCAAGTTTGTGTAGCCCAAAGCCGAGGGAGCGAACAGGAACGGCCGAGAGCCTGGGCTTCCTCCTTTTGTTCACTCATGACAAAATGGACTTCTAGAAAAACACTGACTCGGCAATCTGACAGGCAGGAAACGCAGCCCTGCGGTCTCCCCCGCCCCGATTTCCTTGGTTAAGGTGTGGCTACAGTCAGGGGAGTCTACGCTGGAACATGGCCCCTTCTAGCTGGATAGCTCTATATCCCAGCTGCCGCCAGGCTCTGCCCTGCTGGGCCCTGCAGAGTCGGTGCCGCTGGAGCAGAGGGGGTGGATTCTGCACTGCCGGCGCAGTCCTGACTGGCAGAATCCCTCGCCCTGGTGGGCATGGCAGGGAGAGCAGAGCAATGCCCAGGGTGCTGAGGGAGGAGCTGGTAGAACCATTATCATGGTTGGAGCTGTAACCTGAACCCACTGGAGCTGGAGGTTCCTGGGAGGGGAAACAAACAGGGGACCTCAGGATGATGTTCCTAATCAAGTCACTTCTCTCCCTGCACCACTAACCACTCCCAGGCATCAGCAATATAATCCTCCAAGAAAGGGGTGTCTGAGATCATCTCTCCTCCCCTCCCCAGCAACTCATCACTGGATTTAGCTGCTTGAACCGATGGGAAACTGATGCCCTAGGATGCTCATCTCACACCCTCCAATGGGTCTCTATATGGACACCAAGGACATCCAGATCCCTAAACACGGCTGTGGTGCCCCATGTGCCAGATTCTGGTGTTAGTTACACCAGTTTGCAGTTATGCCACCAACATCCGTGGAGTTACTCTGGACTCACACCAGCATCACTGAAACCCGGGCCCCGTTTGATACATGCCCTGTGCTTTGCAGGAAGGCCCTCAAACCCACCAGACTTTATGATGGTGCAAACCACCATCACAGCTTGTTCTTTTCCTGTTATGTTCTGTTTTATTTAGTGTAGAATGAAAAGCTCATACCTAAAAGAAGCCACCGTTCTTGACTGCAGACAGCCCTTAGCCAGAGTGATGATTGTGCCACTTGGGTGCAGGGGTTAAAGTATAGGGGGACACAGAGCTACCCCCTCCCCGCTATATCAGAGGGAGAACTCCCCCCTCTTCCTTAGCTGCTGCAGGGGCAACCCCCTCTTTCCGTTTCAATAGACTGTAACTGCTGCTTGGAGCGTTCTGCCCTGTCCCGTGGAATCTCGCTGCCCTCTCCGTCTGACTTGGTAACAGAAGTGGGGTGGTGGAGTTAATGTGTAGCAGCCCTCTGCCCTGACAAGCTCAAAGCAAGCGGAAAAAAAGGAGTGGCTAGTTACTCTCTCTCTCACTCGCCAGCCCTTCTCCACCCGAGGCTCAGCCATCACTCCTGGCACTGGCTGCTGCTGAATGTGCCGCATGCGATGAGCGGAGGCTGTTTGCTCAGTCCTAGGGGCCAGGCTGGGGACAGGATGAAAAAAGAAAAAAACAATACCCCCTTCCTATTCTGCGCTGGTGACCCTGCGTGCAGCTCCCTGGGACGAGGAGACCAGCGTGTCCGTCCGAGAAACACGGGCCCGGGGGGCACTGCGGCCACGGCCAGCCTGGCCCCACCCTGCACTACAGCTACGTGCACAGAGGTGCTCAACGTTTCACGGCCCCGAAGATGTCCCTGTTCTGCCCATAGGGCACAGCCAGCTCCAAACTGGCTAATCTTCTGGCTCTCATCACTCTGCAGCTTGCCCATCAGCGGGAGTCTGTGCACTCTCCCCTCTCCACACTCTGCATGTCGCCGCCCAGCACCTCTCCCCATCTACCTCTGCTGAGCATGACTCCCTCCTACCAATCCCCTCTTCCTCCTCCAGATGTTGTCTCTTTCACTCTTCCCCAGCATGCGGCTCTCTCCCCATCTGCTCTCTCTCTTTAACCTGGGAGCCTGATTCTGTAGCCACTCTACCTGGGAAACTCCCATTGGGCCACTGCATTAGACCCAGGATGTGTCTCTCCCCCACCCCCTCTTTGGGTGTGAGTCTGTTGCTTGTTCTGAGTTTATTGTCTCCTATGTTACTGCAAGCTCTATGGGGCAGTTCTGTTCTTCTGTGAAGCTCCAGGCTTATCTATAAGTGACTACTAATAGTGTAGGAACAGTTTCCTTTGGGGCTGCATATTTGTGCTCCCATCTAGCCTCCAATTTCGCTTGCTTTCTGCTAGAAGTACTTGCTCTACGTTTTCACTGATTTTTCCAAATCAGTGAACGTAGCAAAATAACCCATTTGCAGCAGCTATTTCCAAATGCAAAACATTTCTCATCAGCTCTGCCCTGCCTCCACGGGGCTCCCCCTGCCCCTTCACTGACAAAGACACTCAACATCGCTGGAGCTTTCCATCTCCCTTACCTGTCCTCAGAGGCAGCTCTGCTGGGGGGGTATTTGCTGCGCAGCTCCAGTGCTTTAGCCCTTCTCCAAACACCCCATACGCTGTGGACCGATTGTCCTGGTGACTCTTCCCCCTTTCAGCTCAAATGCATCCAACAAGTCACATAACCTGACGGAGGAAGCGGTGCTAGGACATGAGTTGTTTCCTCCTATTGTCTGCAGGGAGAAAGGACACAGATGAGCTGGAGAAAGTAGAGGCACCAAAAAAAAAAAAAAAAAAATATGGCCACAAAGTTTGGAACCCAGCATGCATCAGTGTTTGAAACACCTGAACCTGCCCAGCCCTCCTTCAGGCCCTTTGTCCCTCTCTGCATTAGGAAATGAGCCAGGTTTGGAAACCATTTTCTAACCTGGCTCCTTCACTTGCACCTGGAGCAAACGAGAATGTGGTTAGCTGGCCTGCGCGGATCACACCAAACCGGGTTCGTGGCTGATTCCGAAAACATATTCCGGGCCGGCTTCCACCAGCCCAAGAGATAGCATCCTCTCTTCTCATCGCTGAGCCTCGCCATCCAGGCCTCTGCTACCTCCAGGCTGGACTGCTGCTGCTGTGCTCTCCCTGGGGCTAACTTCTCAAGGTCAGTGATGGTCTTCAGGCCATCTGGCACCTTCGGTGGTGCCAAATTTGACTGGCCTACTGGTGAGGCAGGGCAGACTGGCAGGAGCATATTACGCCTGATCCCTGCGCTGGCAGCCAGTGCTCTGCCAAGTGAAAACCAAGGTGCTGGTCCCTGTCCATAAAGCCTGAAATGGCCACACCCCAGTAGGCACAGAGCTCCTGTGATGTCCCACCAAGTCCAAAAGTTTTGGCTCTTTGTCCATATCGTGAAACTTGTGGGCACGGGGGAGCAGAGAGGTGTCCCTAGCCAACTCCTTGCCTCTGGCATTTTCTCCTGCTGGGAGCACGTCTGAGTTTGTTGAGGCTTTGCGTGAAATGTGGTTTCCAAAATCTTCGGTCTGGCTCATAGCAGCTTCACAAACTGGTACCTTCCCTTGGAGGTTACATCATGTGCTGTAGAACCTAAGCTTAAAAAGTGAAGTCAGACTGGATATGAACTGAGGCAGCAATGCCTTCCTGACATCAGGCCTGAGAGAAATATCAGCTGCCCCCATCATCTCAAGAGGGTGTGCGCTCTGAAGCCTCATAACAATCATTTGACTGTCAACAGTGTTGTTCACAATTTCGTATCAGAGGCAAGAGAATCACATGATGAAGGTTTCCGCAATCTCCTGCAAATGGCATCTCAGTTTGGTATCACAGGCGAACAGGTTGTAGATGGAGCTTATTTTTTCCAATCTGACATCTGTTTAGCTGACTGGCTTGGTTTGCTCCCTGCTTGATATTGCAGAACAGATGCTTCCCTTTCTGGAACTGTATTTGTGACGGGACATCTACCTGGTAAAGTGCACACAGATGAGTCGACTGTGCTGGAGTCAGCATCTGCAATAATTCAGGCAGGAAATTACTTGGATTCCCATCTTGTGGAATCTGGTGTCTGTAGGCGGTTGTGGTGAGGGGGACTGGAGAACAGGCAGCCTCTGGGTCCCTTAATACGGTCTGTATCATGGAATTGTCCTGAAGCAAACTTTCAAAAAGGTGACAGCCCGATTTCATCCCTGTCCTACTAGAAATTAACCTGAGCCCTCCACACACAAGGGCCCTTGAACTGCCACAGGAAAGCAGCAAGTCTGAGGCTCTACTGACCTGTGGCTGGCTCAGAACCGGAGACCTAAACGGTCATTCTGTCCCCCCGCAAAAGCTGGTTTTAAGCTGCTGAGCAATCGCAAGGCATCCTGGAAAAAGGCTAATGTAGTGCCAATCTTTAAAAAAGGGAAGAAGGAGGATCCTGGGAACTACAGGCCAGTCAGCCTCACCTCAGTCCCTGGAAAAATCATGGAGCAGGTCCTCAAAGAATCAATCCTGAAGCACTTGCATGAGAGGAAGGTGATCAGGAACAGCCAGCATGGATTCACCAAGGGAAGGTCATGCCTGACTAATCTAATCGCCTTTTATGATGAGATTACTGGTTCTGTGGATGAAGGGAAAGCAGTGGATGTATTGTTTCTTGACTTTAGCAAAGCTTTTGACACGGTCTCCCACAGTATTCTTGTCAGCAAGTTAAGGAAGTATGGGCTGGATGAATGCACTATAAGGTGGGTAGAAAGCTGGCTAGATTGTCGGGCTCAACGGGTAGTGATCAATGGCTCCATGTCTAGTTGGCAGCCGGTGTCAAGTGGAGTGCCCCAAGGGTCGGTCCTGGGGCCGGTTTTGTTCAATATCTTCATAAATGATCTGGAGGATGGTGTGGATTGCACTCTCAGCAAATGTGCGGATGATACTAAACTGGGAGGAGTGGTAGATACGCTGGAGGGGAGGGATAGGATACAGAAGGACCTAGACAAATTGGAGGATTGGGCCAAAAGAAATCTGATGAGGTTCAATAAGGATAAGTGCAGGGTCCTGCACTTAGGACGGAAGAACCCAATGCACCGCTACAGACTAGGGACCGAATGGCTAGGCAGCAGTTCTGCGGAAAAGGACCTAGGGGTGACAGTGGACGAGAAGCTGGATATGAGTCATAGAATCATAGAATCATAGAATATAAGGGTTGGAAGGGACCCCAGAAGGTCATCTAGTCCAACCCCCTGCTCGAAGCAGGACCAATTCCCAGTTAAATCATCCCAGCCAGGGCTTTGTCAAGCCTGACCTTAAAAACCTCTAAGGAAGGAGATTCTACCACCTCCCTAGGTAACGCATTCCAGTGTTTCACCACCCTCTTAGTGAAAAAGTTTTTACTAATATCCAATCTAAACCTCCCCCACTGCAGCTTGAGACCATTACTCCTCGTTCTGTCATCTGCTACCATTGAGAACAGTCTAGAGCCATCCTCTTTGGAACCCCCTTTCAGGTAGTTGAAAGCAGCTATCAAATCCCCCCTCATTCTTCTCTTCTGCAGGCTAAACAATCCCAGCTCCCTCAGCCTCTCCTCATAACTCATGTGTTCCAGACCCCTAATCATTTTTGTTGCCCTTCGCTGGACTCTCTCCAATTTATCCACATCCTTCTTGAAGTGTGGGGACCAAAACTGGACACAGTACTCCAGATGAGGCCTCACCAATGTCGAATAGAGGGGAACGATCACGTCCCTCGATCTGCTCGCTATGCCCCTACTTATACATCCCAAAATGCCATTGGCCTTCTTGGCAACAAGGGCACACTGCTGACTCATATCCAGCTTCTCGTCCACTGTCACCCCTAGGTCCTTTTCCGCAGAACTGCTGCCTAGCCATTCGGTCCCTAGTCTGTAGCGGTGCATTGGGTTCTTCCGTCCTAAGTGCAGGACCCTGCACTTATCCTTATTGAACCTCATCAGATTTCTTTTGGCCCAATCCTCCAATTTGTCTAGGTCCTTCTGTATCCTATCCCTCCCCTCCAGCGTATCTACCACTCCTCCCAGTTTAGTATCATCCGCAAATTTGCTGAGAGTGCAATCCACACCATCCTCCAGATCATTTATGAAGATATTGAACAAAACCGGCCCCAGGACTGACCCTTGGGGCACTCCACTTGATACCGGCTGCCAACTAGACATGGAGCCATTGATAACTACCCGTTGAGCCCGACAATCTAGCCAGCTTTCTACCCATCTTATAGTGCATTCTTCCAGCCCATACTTCCTTAACTTGCTGACAAGAATACTGTGGGAGACCGTGTCAAAAGCTTTGCTAAAGTCAAGAAACAATACATCCACTGCTTTCCCTTCATCCACAGAACCAGTAATCTCATCATAAAAGGCGATTAGATTAGTCAGGCATGACCTTCCCTTGGTGAATCCATGCTGGCTGTTCCTGATCACTTTCCTCTCATGCAAGTACTTCAGGATTGATTCTTTGAGGACCTGCTCCATGATTTTTCCAGGGACTGAGGTGAGGCTGACTGGCCTGTAGTTCCCAGGATCCTCCTTCTTCCCTTTTTTAAAGATTGGCACTACATTAGCCTTTTTCCAGTCATCCGGGACTTCCCCCGTTCGCCACGAGTTTTCAAAGATAATGGCCAATGGTTCTGCAATCACAGCCGCCAATTCCTTCAGCACTCTCGGATGCAACTCGTCCGGCCCCATGGACTTGTGCACGTCCAGCTTTTCTAAATAGTCCCTAACCACCTCTATCTCCACAGAGGGCTGGCCATCTCTTCCCCATTTTGCGATGCCCAGCGCAGCAGTCTGGGAGCTGACCTTGTTAGTGAAAACAGAGGCAAAAAAAGCATTGAGTACATTAGCTTTTTCCACATCCTCTGTCACTAGGTTGCCTCCCTCATTCAGTAAGGGGCCCACACTTTCCTTGGCTTTCTTCTTGTTGCCAACATACCTGAAGAAACCCTTCTTGTTACTCTTGACATCTCTGGCTAGCTGCAGCTCTAGGTGCGATTTGGCCCTCCTGATATCATTCCTACATGCCCGAGCAATATTTTTATACTCTTCCCTGGTCATATGTCCAACCTTCCACTTCTTGTAAGCCTCTTTTTTATGTTTAAGATCCGCTAGGATTTCACCATTAAGCCAAGCTGGTCGCCTGCCATATTTACTATTCTTTCGACTCATCGGGATGGTTTGTCCCTGTAACCTCAACAGGGATTCCTTGAAATACAGCCAGCAGTGTGCCCTTGTTGCCAAGAAGGCCAATGGCATTTTGGGATGTATAAGTAGGGGCATAGCGAGCAGATCGAGGGACGTGATCGTTCCCCTCTATTCGACATTGGTGAGGCCTCATCTGGAGTACTGTGTCCAGTTTTGGGCCCCACACTACAAGAAGGATGTGGATAAATTGGAGAGAGTCCAGCGAAGGGCAACAAAAATGATTAGGGGTCTAGAACACATGAGTTATGAGGAGAGGCTGAGGGAGCTGGGATTGTTTAGCCTGCAGAAGAGAAGAATGAGGGGGGGATTTGATAGCTGCTTTCAACTACCTGAAAGGGGGTTCCAAAGAGGATGGCTCTAGACTGTTCTCAATGGTAGCAGATGACAGAACGAGGAGTAATGGTCTCAAGTTGCAGTGGGGGAGGTTTAGATTGGATATTAGTAAAAACTTTTTCACTAAGAGGGTGGTGAAACACTGGAATGCGTTACCTAGGGAGGTGGTAGAATCTCCTTCCTTAGAGGTTTTTAAGGTCAGGCTTGACAAAGCCCTGGCTGGGATGATTTAACTGGGAATTGGTCCTGCTTCGAGCAGGGGG